ACCTGACAACAGACTTCTCCAAGGCAATTCATCATTTTATTTCCTGATTGTTGATGCCAAGAGTGTTGATTGTGGAGCCAAACAAGCTGAAATCGTTAAAAATCTCAATCTCTTCTCCATCCATCATTATGCTTCCAGTTGGCCCAGTGGTGAGAATCTTTGTCTTCTTGATGTTAAACTTCAAGCCAGGTTGAATAAAGACTACAGTCCTTGACCTTCTGCAGCAAATGTTTCAGGTCCTCCTCAGTTTTGGCAAACAAGGTTGTTGATGAGTCTTCGTCCAATCCTGATGCCACATTCCTCCTTATAAAGCCCTGCCTCCTGAATGATCTGTTCTGTATACAGACTGAAAAGATAGACAGGATGCATCATTGTCTATTACAAGTATTTTAGAAAAAAAATTATGCCACTTATCTGTGATTAAGTCCAACTGGAGTGCTGCTTTGACGATGACCCTTCTGATACTTCCACAGCAAATGGGACAGGATCAAAAGGAGACCTTGCTTCAGTAATAAAAAAACAGAAAGACAAAACATCAAATCACCTCTAAGGAAAAGGGATTTGATAAGGGCAAGTATTTATATCCTTTTGTTTTTAAAAGATGATGTCGGAATAAAATATGGAAAACCTAAAAACAAAACATGCAAACATTGATTTGTCTATTAAGTGGTAGCCAATGGAATCAAATACAAGTTTAAGAAAGACATGTTCCTTATGCTCCAACATTCACAGGAGAGCAGATGTTGCAATATAGTGAAGTTGTACAAAAGCAGCCCCGGGTGCACAATGGTTAGAACACTTGACGGCCACCTGCCTTTGAGTTGGTGGCTACATCTGCCAATGGCTCTGTGGGAGAGAAAGCCCTGGTGGTCTGTTCTTAGAAAGATTACAGCCTATGAAATCCTATGGGGAGTTTTACTTTATCACACTGGACCCCTATGAATCGAATCACATACAAGGAACTCTGAGAAGTCACACTTAGGATGTTTTATATGAGGATTCACACGCTCTCTTCATGATCGCAAATCTCTGAGGAGTCCCAGGTGTTGCAAATGGTTAATACACTTGGCTGCTAACCCAAAGGTTGACAGTTTGAGTGCTCCCAGAGGTGCCTACAAGAAAGGCCTGGCAACCTCGCTCCAAAACCTCAGCCTTGAAACTCCATGAAGCACAAGTTTATTCTGACCCACGTGGTGTGGCCGTGAGTCAGAATCTACTTGATGGCAACCAATTACAGCCTTGTGAGCTAGAGGAGAGGAGGGGGTGGACATGGGCACCTTCATGAAGACCGGGCACGGTCACTTCACGGGGCAAGAGAAGAACAAGGAGCCTTTCTCTGAGATGTAAAGTTGTGAGTTGTCCCTGCTCTGCGGGTTTGGTTGACATCAGTTTGAGTCTTTATCCTTTTAAGTGCCTGGTACCATGAGACTAGCATTTGCCTTTTAATATGTGTGATACCTCCGGAGAGCTCAGATTTGAGAATCTAAGTAATGAGGACCAAGCCATCAATTACAGTGGGTCACACGAGCTGCTGACGACCTTGGAAATGCTTCCCACTTAGAGGAGCTTCCTTTTTCCTGCTGGATTTAAACCCCATTAATAATACATCTGCTATGTCTTAAGTGGACTAGTAACATCTATTAATGGAATGTGCTTGTCATGAGCAGGACTTCCCGGAGCAGGAAGAAAAGGTGCGGCAGAGAAAGAGTTTTAACCAAGGACTCCACAAAACCATTTATCCCATCAGCTCACCCAGCCAGACAAAGGTGTGTCCGATGATGAGGAAGGCACAGGAGGATGGGGTTTGGGTCTGTTGTTCATAGAGTCACTATGATTTGTACTCACAGCAACAACGGATAAAGGTGAAGAGGACACTCATTGCTGCTGCAGGTGGGACAGGGTAGAAGGGAGGGGCTCCTATGGGGAAGGGAAGGGTGAAGAGGGTTCTTTAATGGATATGAAAACCAGCCCCCCTCCCTGGCTATGCCCCTGAGCCAGAGGGCATGCTTGTAGACACTCAGCAAGTTCTTGGTCCACATCCCTTTCCTCTGAATGAGAGTCTGGTTCCCTGAGAAAAAACTCTATTTCTGGGTTGGGAAATTACTCTGGGCCTCATGTCATCCAGTATGTGGTGTGTGAGGCACACACTAACGCCCTGAAGTCGCCTTAGGAGTGAAGAGCCCCAAGTGGAGGGATGGCCAGGAGCCCAGCACTCAGCCCAGCTTCTCAGGTGACCACAGGGTGAAGCTGGCTTTACAAGTTCTCTGGACAAATGGAACCTCCGAGGGAAACATGAGGCTGGGTGGCAGTGCCACTGCATTGGCTGTTGTGACTGAGTCTTTACACAGAAGGTGCTTGTTGTTTGGTGCTATCAGGTCAGCTCCTTACATAGGCTCAGGTGATTAGCAGCTAGTAATTGCTCAAGAAGTTGTTATCCACTATCAAGTCATCCCTGACGCCTAGTGGTGGTTGACCTCACACACAGCCGGATCAGACTGTTGCGATCCATAGAATTAAAAAAAAAAAAAAAGTTAATAAAAGAATTTATTTCCTTATTTTTTAGAGTGAAATAGCAATGACACAGGCATCCCTCCATTAAAGGAGATATGGAGCAAGGCCTATTTCATTTTTTTTGTTGTTGTGAATACACCCAGCAAAACCCACACCAATTCTTTATGACGCAAGCAGGAATCCACACAGAAGTACCTTGGAAGAAAGGCCTGGCAATCTAGTAAAACAATCCACTGAAGGTCCTGTGGAGCCCAGCTCTCTGACGCACACAGGGTCGGCATCAGTTGGAATCAACTCCATGGCGTCTAGAACCAGATACTGGAGCACTGTCCTCAGGTGGATGTGATGCCTTTGGATGGAGCTTGGTTTCCCAGTCTTGTGCTGGAAGCCTTGTCAGGGGAGGACTGACTAAGAGCCTAGGAGGAGGGGAAGTTCCCTCCTAATCAAGTCTGCGGTGGTGGCCAGCCCCAAATCCTCTTCCACTACGATGAAGAGGAGATACCTTGTTTTCAGGTGCCATTCCCTTCACGTTGTTGTTGTTGTTGTTAGGTGCCATCTCGCAGCAAGCACAGCTCGTAGCAACCCTGTGAACAACAGCTCTGAACCCGACCTACCCTCTGCCATCCTCATCCTTTCTGACATACTTGAACCTGGTGGTGCAGTTGCTCTGTCAATACGTCTCATTGAGGTTTTCCTTTTGTACTCACCCTCCACCTTTCCAAGCATATCCCTTTCACTAGCATATTTTTTTTAAATCATAAACGTTTAGGAATCTTGCAATAAAGAAACTTGTTTAATTTTGTTAACTCAGAGTTTTTAATTTTTTTTAAAAGCTAAAAATAAAATCTGAAAAAAGAATAGGCCATTTTGAGATGTCCTTTGAGCAGACAGTAATGATGAAAAGTCACAAAAATCTGTGTATCCCAAATGTCAATTTTAGAATAAAAGACAAATCCCCAGGCCCCATCTGAGATGCCGTGAATACCTAAAGGACAGAAATCTGGATTTTGTTGTTGTTCCAAGTGATTCTCAAGCACACAGAAACTGAAAACCTATGTCCCAGCAGATTTTATGTTTAAAGATCACATCCTGTTAGCTCGCAGTTCCTTGATCCCTAAGAATTCTGTTTCAAGGCCTCTCTTTGCTGAGTCGGGGCCTGAAGTAGGGGAACAGCAGGACTGCCAGATTGCAGAAGGTAGTCAACGTCTGTGCACAGCCCCTTAGCACTCTCCCACAATTCACCCAATCTCTGCCTTTATTGCTGTGGTGAGCTCTCAAACTGGTCCTCAGGACACACTCCCCCCTCTTTCATCTCTAACTGCAACTGCTCTCTGCTGAATGTCACTTGTTGGGGGGTGGGGACAAGGGAAAACAGCCTGAATTTGGGTCTGACTGTTGCTCAGGAAGTTTTTTGCAGTGTTTGCACACGCTCTTGCACCAGGAATATTTGCTGATTCCAGACCTCAATGCTTGGGATAAGAAGCTGCGCTGCAATCTCTAAAGCACACGGTTAGAATCCACCAGCTGCTCAGTGGGAGAAGGATAGGCAGTCTTCTCCTATGAGATTTACTGCCTCAGAAAATACCCTGGAGGGTCAGCTATGGGTCAGTTCCAGCTGCATGCACGTAACAGTAACAGTAACAGCTCTAGATGGCTCTGTGTCACTCACTCCACCTCACTCACATGTGAGACCGAATTCTTCAAGCTGTGGGCACCCAGAGCTGTTTAGACAACTGAGTCCTCGGCAGCATGAGGTTTAAAATCCACAGCCACCGCTGCAATAGAAACACCCACTTAATTACAGTGGACACTGGGAGCTGTGCGTCTTCTGAGACTCTCCCAGCCTGTTCCCAAATCCTTGGAGGGCTCCTCCCAGGAGATGAGGCCAGGTAAACCAGGAAACCTGTTGGGTTTGCCTGGAAATATTACCAGTTCCGCTTCATCTCCACTTCTAGTACTGTAGGTCTCTCCCCTAGCTCAGTTTCCCTTTCTGGTCACTAAGAAGAGATACTTGGGATTTCTTAACAGAGTGTCTCAGAAAAAAGAAGATTTTGCTTTAAAAGGAGCCGGTCCTTTTATTCTGCCGCCTCCTCGCTCCTTCAGCCGCGTGATCGTTTCTCCCAGTTGGGACGCCACTGGGCGCAGGGCGGCGCAGTCTCCGGGAGCGCCCTCGCTAGACCAGCGGGCGGTCCTGTGGTGTCACTGTCTCTAGGGAGGACGGGGTGGCGGCAAGGTCGCGATCCGAGGCTCTGGCTCCCACCCAGCTCCTACCCGAGGCTTTCTATCCACGCCGGTAACCCGGGGGCCAACGAGGCAGCCCCGCGCTCGCCCCGCGCCTATGACGGGAGCCGCGCACGCCTGGGGCTGCGGCAGTGCCGAGGGCGAGCGCTGCGCGGGGCGCACGGGGAGGCGGGCTGGCGGGGCGCGGGCGGCAGTACACGCGGTACCTGTGGGGCTTGGCGGCCCGCGGGCCCAGGTGAGACAGCACCATGGGGCAGGGGGGCTGGAAGGGGTTCTGCCTGTCACTGTTTGACTACAAGACGGAAAAGTATGTCATCGCCAAGAACAAGAAGGTGGGCCTGCTCTACCGGCTGCTGCAGCTCTCCATCCTACTGTACTTGGTGCTGTGAGTGTTCTGGGTGCCCAGGAAGGGGGACCTGGGTGGGGGCGCGGGGGCCGGACTGGGAGGCGTGGGTGTGGGTAGTAGGTTTCAGCTACCCTGGAATTTGCGTGTATGTTCTTATGTTCCCAGTGGTTGGGGGTCCGTGACCCTGCTTGGGGGTCCTCCTAGGCTCTTGGATGTTAATGAGAGGAGTAAGGAGGTCGCCCTTGCCAGCCCAGCGGGCTTCCCCCTGGTGCCACTGTCTCGGGAGGTAGAGAAGGAGGACGGGGTCCGAGGCTCAAGCGCTTGCCCAGCCCAGCTCCCACCGGAGGCTTGAGGCTTTCTAGCATGCCAATAATCCAGTAACTGGAGGGCTAGTGCGCGCGCTCAGCGCCTATGCCGGGGAGGGGGCTCTCCCCCATGCGGCTCTAGGTGTGAAGTAAGGGATGGGGCTCTTGGTTTCTTGATTTATGAGGTTTTTCATGGGCCATTCCTCCCCACCCAGAGCTGAAACTCCCAGTGTTCTAGGGCCGAAACCCGGCAGGGATGTCGTGGGTGGGGGCCAAGCGGCCTGACTGGGCTGCAGCTGTCTCCCCAGAAGCCTCCCCAGGTCCTGACTGGGCAGCCAGCCCAGGAGGCAGGCTGGTTATTTATAATCGTGGAGAGTCATTGCCATGCTCGGGGCTAGAGCGACTCATGAGCTTGGCATGCCCCACCTCCCTCCTGGTCACCTACGCCACGCACGGTTGCCTCTAGGGTATCCACTGGGGCCCCTACCCAGGCATCTGTCTCTTCCGGTTCTGTACCATCCCACCGCATCCCACCCAGCAGTTGCTGCTGACCCCAGCCATGGGACAGATCCCTGGGGCTGCACAATGAGGGGCGCCACGCTCTGAGGAAGCAGGTGCAGCCCATTTATTGCTGTTGTCGTCTGTCAGGAGCCATAGAATTGGCTCTGGGTCATAATGTCCCTATGCACAACAGATCAGTGTGGCCCTCACAGTCTCATTGGCCCTGAAGCCCATTGCTGCAGTCATTCATCAGTCCATCTCTCTGAGGCCCTTCCTCTTTTCTGCTGACCTTCTCCTTTTCCCACGGTGGTAGCTTTCTCCAGGGACTGGCCCGTCCTGAGAACATGGTCAAGATGTGTGAGGTGAAGCTCGCCAGCCTCCCCTCCAGGGATGCCCATTTAGCGACACTTGGAGATGGCATCTCCATTGCCCTCCCAGAGAGTCAGATTTGAGGTTTATCAGTCTCCTGTTTCTTGCTCAGTGCTCAGCAGGAAATTACTTTTTGCCTCTCAGAGGATATGCTACCTTTTAACTGGTAGTACACAGGCCAGCGGACCCAGTTCTGGTCCAGGTCCAGGAGGAGGTGACTCTGGACAAGTGAGATGAGCCTTCATTTGCTTGCTCAGTGAATGTGGCTGAGCCCTCTTGTTCTCGGTCTGTGGGAAGGAGGAATGCCCATCCTGAGAAGGTAGCTCGCACCTCCCTCACCTCCACCTGGAGGCAGGTATCCAACTTTCCCTTAAACTTTGGCTGTCTGTTGCCCACCTGAGGACCTTTGTATTCATGCGCTTCCTCAGACCAGGTTCTCCCATAATTCTCTCTCCCCTTCCTCCCTGGCATTCCCACATTATAATTAGATGTTTATTTGGGAGATTGTTTGCTTAATGTCTATGACTGCTGGGCTAGTCAGGTATGCAGTCAATGAATGAATGAAGTTGCTCCTTGAGTATTTGTGGAATGCTTCTGTTAAGGCTAGGCCTAGCCTGTCCCTGCTAGAATGGCTGGTTGGGTCAAGCATCAGAGGCCTGGCAGAGTTCTTTGGAGACGTGATAGCCCAGGGCCCCGGGGCTCCCACAGCTCCCCTAGGCGTGAGGAAGATGAATACAACCTGCTTAGCATCTGCTATAGAGAATCCGTAGTGGGATCCTGGGGAGCTCAGGGCATCTCACAGCAGTTGTGACTTGACCTCAGGACAGTGACTTTCTGCCGCCTTCTCTAAGCTGAAGTTTCCCAGCTTCAACCATAGAAGGTTGACTGGAACAGCCTTTAATAACAGCTACAACCTCAGCAGTGGGGAGTTGTGTTTATTGTGCCCTAACTCTGTCAGTGAGAAGCAACCTACTTGTGCCATCTCAATTTTAAAAGACAGCTTTGTATCTTGCTATGATTTCCATTTTACAGAAAAGGTGCAAAATTGTTTGCAACTATATACACTACTGCTTACTTATCAACTATTTTATTATCTGACCTTTAGCATTTACAATACTGAAAAAGATACTATTTGAAGAATTCATGAAAGACATCTAGCAGTAAGGAACCTGAGGTGTGAGGAAAGAGTAGTGCTGGCTGTGATGGTTAAGGATAGGTGTCAACTTGGTATAGTTCCCAAATATCACTGGTTTAGCTGTTGTGTGATGATGTCCTCTAACATTTATGCAATAATGTATTCATCAATTTTTTTGTGCTCCTATGTGGTCATTCTCCATTTTTGTACAGTTGACTTAGTCTTTGGAACCTAATTATATCGATAAGGGAGAAGTGGGTGGATGGTACTTGGCATTGAATGACTCTAAATCTTACTGACTCGATGTGTGTCAGGATAGCATTGTGTTCCATTGGGTTTTTCAATGATTTATCAGAAGTAGATTGCCAGGCCTTTCTTCAGAGGCATCTCTGAATGGACTTGAACCTTCAACCTTTCTGTTAGTAATTAAGTGCATTAACTGTAACCTGCCCCCTCCAGGGACTCCATATATGTTGATACAATATTTTAATGCAACCAATGAATGAATGAAGTCACGCCTTGAGTATTTGTAGAATGCTCTGTTAAGGCTAGGCCCAGCCTATCCCTGCTAGAATGGCTGATTGGTTCAAGGGTCAGAGCCCTGGTAGAGTTCTTTGGAACAGTGTATGGTTCTTACAAACACTGCATCTCCTTTCTGTGACCTTTGAATGCATTATATACGTGTACATCATTCTGTGGCTGAGTTATTTGAAAAAAAATACAGAGTATGTCTAGATTTTCAAAATGAACTTTTTAGTTTAATTTAGTGTGCATTCCTGGAAAACAATAAAGTAATGAATCAAAATCAGGAAATTAAGATTGATGGTATTATCATCCTCTAATGGAGTCCACTTTATAGCAAATGAGACTCCTCACTCATGCTTTGCATCCAGTTGTCCCATCTTCTTATGCTCCTATGATCCGGCATCGTTCCTGAGTCTGTACTTCGTGACAGTGACATGTTCCCAAAAGCACAGAATTATGTGCCGTTGTAAAGAGCCCTGGTGGTGTAAAGGTTAGGCACATAGGTCTGAGCAAAAGGTGAGTGGTTCGAATCTACCCAGTCTGCAGGATGAAAACCAGCTGACATTTCCCCCATAAAGTTTGCAGCCTAGAAAACATAGGGACAACTCTATTTTCGCCACCTGGAGTAACCATGACTTGACAATTGACTGGCAAGCACTGACAACAATTTTGTGGAGTGACTTTTCGTTTGTGACTTCTCATGTTGCATTTCAGGTTTTACACCATCCTATTATTCCCACAGATTCATCCTGGAAAGGGTTAAACTGGTGGCTCCTTGGAGGCAAGGATTCTGAGGCTCCATCTAACATACTTTGGACATGTTGTGAGGAGAGACCGGTCCTTGGAGAAGGACATCATGCTTGGGAGGGTGGAGGGACAGCGCAGAAGGGGAAGGCCCTCTATGAGGTGGATTGATTCAGTGACTGGGGTAATCGGGTGGGAGTGTCAGAGACAGTGCGATTGGCACAGGATATAGCAGAATTTAGGGCTTTTGTACGTAGGGTCGCTATGAGTCGCAGGCGACTCAACGGCACATAACAACAACAACAACATTATTCCTACCCTCTGAAGGGAGATGCTATTCTCCCACGTTACATAGTGGGTAACTGAGTCTCAGCATGGATTGGCTTGTCCAAGGTCATGTGGTCAGTACTGCTTCAGCCCAGGCCTGCCAGTCTTCAGAGCCTTGGCTTCTGTATATCCCTCTCCTGTGGGACCAGGTTTCAAGCAGCACTGGGAGCTGGTGGAAAAGGTGGCCTGGAGGCTGCCCACCCCTGCTACCCTCAGGAGTTGCTGTGACTCCCACTCCCCTCACCCCTGTAGCCCCAGGACACTGCCCTGAGGACAGCAGTGCAACTGACGCCCACCTCCCGACCTTCTTCCCACAGATGGGTGTTTGTGGTGAAGAAGGGCTACCAGGACACAGACACCTCCCTGCAGAGTGCTGTCATCACAAAGGTCAAGGGCGTGGCCTTCACCAACACCTCAGAGCTGGGAGAGCGGCTGTGGGACGTGGCTGACTATGTCATCCCACCCCAGGTCTGAGCCCCCACCTTGCACTGCTGCCAGGACCCCAGAGGCCTCTGTCTATTGTCCTGTGAGGTTTAAAGACCTTGCCTGGACCCTTCCCTCTATACTACCCCTGCCTTCCCTAACTGCAATTTATTATTGCTGTTGGGTTTTTTTTTTTAATTATTATTGCTGTTTTTAATTGGGGTAAATACATAGGTAACAAAACACTTCCCATTTCTACAAATGTCTGCTTTGCAAGCCACCCTATTGAGCCTATTAAAACCAAATGGGATCCAAAATAATTCTGGGTTTTCACAGTGGCCAACTGGGGAAGTCCCTCCCTCCTTCTGTTAGCCACTGTTGCTAGGAATGGCTTCCTGACTTGTTCAGAGGCAACTCCATTGCTGCCCCTTCTCCTCCTGGATCTGGGCTTGGACCCGAGAGGCTGACTGAGGCCCAACAGGGACGTGTTCAGGGGACACCTGTTCAGGGACTCCTGGCTCAGCAGAGGACGGAACCCACCAGCGTTGTGATCCCATCAACCCCAGCACCCTTCAGAGGCCCCATCACCGCAAAGCCATCTTGGGGCTGGAAGAGGCATACCTCAATGAACTCCTCTGGCAAACATGAAATTGGGCCCTGTCCAAACATCTGACACCACCTTTTTGATAACGTTACTGTATTTTCAGCTCCAAAATGCAAGTCAATCTCATCACTATTAATACCTTCTACACTTAGGAAAATAACAATGACATCTTCCTTGCTTTTACTGATCGAAATTGCTCAGTGCTGTGTTCCGTTTATTATTTTTTTAAAATTAATTTTAATGAAAGTTTACGGAGACTTAGGGTTTCCAGTCATTCATTGTTACACTGTTTATTTTTTTCCAGTTTCTTCTCTTTCTACAGAGACAGTTCACCTATGGAGGTGCGCTGTTAAGTGAAAGGTAGTGCCTGTCTGGCAGTTCTAATCTATCCAGAGCTCTGAAGGAGCAAGATAGGCAGTCTCCTCCCATTGTGATTTTACAGCTATGGAAAGCCAGTTGAGGGTCCGCTGTGAGCCAGTCGGACTCGCAATTTGTCAGTCTGTCTTTACACTCAGCCGCACAAGTTGACGCAGCCTGCCTCAAGCCACGGCATGTCACATGCGAAAGTTACTAGTTTTAACTCTGCTCTCTCAGATCTGGCCATGAAAACAGTGATGGCTGAGAGGAAAATGGCTCAGTGGTGCCCCCCGTCAGGTGGCACACAGGCACATGCTATCCCTGCCCCATCTATGCTGTGCCTCTGGCAGAGGGAGTCCCCTCACTGGTTCCTTTCTGGCTCCTCAGGGAGAAAGTGTCTTCTTCGTGGTGACCAACCTGATTGTGACCCCCAATCAGCGGCAGAACGTCTGTGCTGAGGTGATAAGACACCTGGACCCAGGGAACAGCAGCCCAGATTGGGGTTCCCTGCTCCTGGTCCCTGGGCTTCTGCCCACTCCAGGGCCTGGAGGATGTGATCTGGGGGTGGAGCCAGGACCGGATCAGGTTCTCAGGAGGGGGGTGTGTGTGCTCAGGCAGGGGAAGAGACCCCGTCCTAATTCTGGGGATGGGACCTGGTTCTGGCTAAGGCCCCCTTTCTTTCCTGGCAGAGTGAAGGCATCCCTAATTCCGAGTGCTCTGAGGACAGTGACTGTCCCTCTGGAGAGGCAGTTGTCACTGGAAATGGTGAGGGCCCAAGGGGCGAGGCTAGGTGGTGGAGGAGAGGCCTGGAGCTGGGAGACCCTGGCATTGACCCTGTCCCGTGTCCTCAGGAGTGAAGACTGGCCGCTGTCTGCGGGCGGGGAGCACTGGGAAGGGCACCTGTGAGATCTTCGCCTGGTGCCCAGTGCAGGACAAGTCCCAGCCTGCGTGAGTGGCCCCAGCCTGGGGGTCGAGGGCTCTCAGACCTGTGGGTGGGAACACGTCCACTCCAGGATCCTAACCCTGAAGAAGAAGCCAGGACACCACTCTGAGAAATTGGCTTCCCTTGGCAGAGACTTCGGGGACAGGAACTGGACCAGGGGGGAAAGAGTGGAGGATGGGAGGTTGTCAGGGCCTCTGGACAGGCTGCTGGCTTGGTTTCCAGGAAGCTGATCCTGAGTGAGGCTGAAGAATTCACCATTTACATCAAGAACTCCATCCGATTCCCCAGATTCAACTTCTCCAAGTACGTGGGGTAGGCTCTTGCAGTCCTAGGAGTGGCGCCTTGGCTGGTGCCCTTGGCATCCAAGCATCATGGGCAGTGTGCACCCAGTACTTGTGTATGTGAGTCTGTGGGGGGTAGAGCCTCTGGGTGGCCCTGGGGCGCCCCTGTCCCCACTGTGGGTCCTGCTCTTAAGTGTAGTAAGACGTTAGCTGGTGGAGACGGGCCAGGGCTTTAGTTTGGGCTCTGTCAGGGGTCAGCCTAGGCTGGAATGAAGCCAACAAGTCTCCCCATCATTTCACTGGTTGTTCATGGCCTACCCCAGGACAAACGTGCTGGACACACAGAACAGATCTTACCTGAAGACATGTCGCTTTGACTTCACCAATGTGTACTGCCCCATCTTCCGACTGGGCTCCGTGGTCCGCTGGGCCGGAAGCAACTTCCAAGAGCTGGCCCCGAAGGTGGGTGGGATGTGTGGTGAGTCCTCCCCCCACCCCACCGGCCTAGACCCCAAATTGAAGTGGGATCATGGAAGGGACTTGTGGGTTGGGGTGGGTGGCTACACCACTTACCTGGCCCCAGAAAAGGATTTCAGAATGGGCTGGGACACAGCTGGACTTGCTGGCATTCAGACCCTTGGGGAGGGGGCAGAAGGGAGGTGAAAGGGACATGGGTGTGAGGACCCAGTCCCTGTCCTCCTGCAGCCCTTGATACTGGCCCCTTGGGCCAGTGCACTCATCAAGCGCCATGAGGGGAACGTGGAGAGAGACCTGAGCTTGAATCACAGCCCTGCCTTTACTAGTGACCCACTGCAAGTAACCTTACCCCCACCCCAGCCTTTTCCTCCCCTGAGGAACGATGGCACCACCCTACACACAGCACTGTGTGGAGTTTCAGTATTGCTCTGTGGATGCTTTCTCTTTGCCAGTGTTTGAAATCTTGGGCAGCAATCTCAGATAATATGACTTATGGTCACAAGGGTTGCATGTTCAGAAGTTGAAATTTCTGGCCGAGGTGGTGACCCAACCTTGTGACTCTGTCCAGCGTCTGCTGTCCCTGGGGAGGGGGTGGTGTGCCGTGGGGTGTGAGGTGACAGCCACTTCTGCCTATTTCCCCGCCTCCAGGGTCAGGTTCAAGTGGAGGGGGACACTATCCTACTGTTACAGTGGGATGGTGGCATCTTCTGAGTTTGGTGGATTCCTAGAGCTGATTTCTCTCTCACTGTCAGACACTTTATTTTTAGGGGGGGAACTCTATTATAACTAGTGTTTTTAGATTATGCCTCTGGAAATTTGTGTTTGCTGCCTCTGCAGCATGGGTGACCTGGGTGCCACACAGTGACTGCACCAATGGGCATAAGCCCAGCAGTGATGGTGAGACTGGTGCAGGCAGGATCGGGCAAGGCCTCAGTCTGCAGTGCAGAGAGTCACTCTGAGCTGGCATCGACACGATGGCATAGCCCAGCCCCCATCTCTGAGCATCCTGCAGCCCGCCCCACACAGTCTCTGGGGTCTCAGGGCTCCTCAAGGCAAATGTCTTGGAAACAACTTTTCAGCCAGTAAACCCTCTCCCAGAAGCCACATCTGTGTCCCCTTTACTGTCACAGAGGGACAGAATGGGGAAGTGGGATAAAATGTGCAGGGGCACAGGGTGAGCAAACCCCACCTGTCTCATGAGCTGTGTGGCAAGGATCTACATGGGTCCAGGCCTTCCCACATCTCCACACCTCACTATCAGCCACTGCTGAGGCCAAAACCTCTCTCTGGTGTTGCAGACTGAGGGTTATGAGACAGACAATCAAGACTGAGATAGAACAGAGAGAGTAAAGAACAGGAGGCCAGCAGTTCCATGACTGAAGGCCTCAAGCCATGCCTCTCTGGGTATTTATTGAAAATCATAAGGAAGGTAAACAAAGGAAAATCATAAGGGAGTACAAAATAAAAACAAGGGATCATGGGGAACTCTTTTGCAGATAAGGCCAAGTTCTTCTCTATTGTTTACTTCACACTTATGTCAGGAGTCAGGGATTCAGTAAATACAAACTAAGAACAATGTTGACTCTTAAGGAATGCCTTAGTGCCACAGGGTGAATTCTAGCTTGTATTAAGCCTCCCTCATATCCTGATATAGCATTTGGTTTATTATTAATATTCTATTTGATATTCGGCCCCACACTTCGGACCCTGGCCAGCCAGAGTTAGGGTGAACCTTATCCTCCATTCTCCTGAGCCCAGGTTACAGGAAGCAGCCATGTAGGCTCAGGAGTCTGCCCGGCTCCCTTTTCTTTAGTCCAGGGGCCTCTCTGTCTCTCTCTCTCTGGCACCTGAGACTGTTTTTGTTGCTGTTGTTAGGTGCCACCTAGCTGACTACGACTCACAGCAACCCTGTGAACAACAGATCTAAGCCAGGCCCTATTCTGCACCAGACTCACAATCTCAGCTAGATATGCCCACTGGCAGTCACTGTGCCCGTGCATCTCATTGAGGGTTTTCCTATCTTCAGTCACCTTGGAAAGCATGTTGTCTTTTTCTGAGCACTGGCCCATCCTGACAACATGCCCAAAGTGTGTGGAATGGAGCTTCACCATCTTTCCTGAGAAGACTTTATCCTTTACTGCCTGCCTGCCACTCTTCTCTGTCACCTGGCCACCAGAACTGGGTCTACTCAGACTGACATACCACCAGCTCCTGCTGACTCATTGTCCCCCTGGGGCTGGTAATTCTCTGGGATGACTCACAAAACTCACAGAAATTATCTGTGCTTCCAGTTACCCATTTATGATAACCAGAAAGGATACAGTGAGGGGATGCTTTGGGCAGGGGGTCTGGGAGCATTCCCAGCACTGGGCCTCCATTGTCCCAGGAACATACCCTCTCCCTTGTGTGGATGTTCTCACCACTCCAGGAGGAGACCCCTTCAAAAGAGCTCCAAGGTCCAAAGTCCCCGTGAAACCTCCCTGCCTACGCACAGCTAATGCCTCAGCAAGGGAGCTCTGGTGGCCTAGTCTGTAGGGAGTTTCCCTGCTAACCCAGAGGCTGTGCCTCTCTGGTGGTTCAAATGCACCAGCTGCTCCTTGGGAGAAAGATGGACAGTCTCCTCCTGTGCAGCTTACAGCCTCTGAAATCCCACTGGAGGGTCAGCTGTGAGTTGGTTACAGCTGAATGGCAATGAGAGAGAGAGAGAGAGGAAAAGGGAGAAGGAGAGGGAGAGGGAGAAGGAGGGGTAGAGAAGGAGAGGGAGAGAGCCCTAACACCTAGCTAAGGTCAACTCAGCCAATGAATATACATGATGGACTGCATCCTGCCCCCTCCCTTACTGAGATTCCTTCCCTGGGTGTGGGGCCTGGGGAGCTCCTGGCTATTTCAGAAAGACAATTCACTCGCTCATTGCTGTTAAGTCACAACTAACTCATCACTGACCCTCCATTGAGTTTCTGAGGCTGTGAATCACCCAGGAGGCTAAAATTTGTCCACCTTTCTCCCTTTGAGCTACTGGTGGATTAACCAAAACACAGTCTTTCAGTTAGCAGTTCACCTCCCTACAGAGTACATCACCAGAGCTCCCTTTGAAAGACAAAGAATGTTTTAATGGCTCAACTTATTTTCAGAAATCAGATAGTAAAAGCCAGATTGAGTTCTTTGTCCCATAGATGGGCTGACTGCTCCTCTCTGCTCTGATTCTTTGATTTAGCTACAAAGCTTCTCCCTTTGCAATCAGGAGTGAGACACCATTCTGGTCCCCAAATCCAGTCAACTCAACTCATTGTTGTCAAACTATTGAATTAAAAGTGACTCTTAAATGGCCCCCAACAGGTTTTCAGAGGCTGTAAATCACACGAGAGTGCCCGTTTTCTCAGGTGGAGCAGTTAATAGACTCGAACCACTTGCCTTCAGGTTGGCAGTGCAACTATCTAGAAGGCCACCAGAATTCCCAAAATGCAGTAGGAGCCCCCAAAGTGCTGGGAGGCTCTCCTTAGACTTTTCTCCAGGTGACGGGGAAAAGCACCTATCTGTCCTCCATTGGGTGACCTGAAAGAGCACCTCAACAGTGCCTTCCAATGAACCCTTTCCAGCCTCTCCCACTTCAGTCCCTGATGCCCTTCAGCTGGTTTGCTGCTGCCGCTTCTTGGGACCAGGTGGCAGTGATCCAGGGCATCAGTGGAAGTGGAGCTGGAACGAGCTGGTGGGCACATCCCAGCTCAGATGCCCAGTGTCTGTCCACTGTAGTCACTGGGCCAGGGTGGCTTTCAGAGGAGGTGTCACTTGGGTAGATGCTGGCTTCTCTCTCCTCCACTAGGGGGCGAAGAAGGACGATGGTGGGGCTGTGCCTGCCCCTGGGGTAGCCTCCACAGCCACTCCCAGGAGTGGGGCTAGAACCCTGTGTCCACCGCCTTCCTGAAGGGTGGTCCGCCAGGACAGACCTGTAACCCAAACACCCTCCCTTCTCCTCAGGGCCAGTCTGAACCTTGGTTCCCTCTCCACACAGGGCTGTCCACTCACCCTTGTCTCTCTTCCATCAAGGGCGGTGTGATAGGAATTCAGATTGAATGGGACTGTGATCTTGATAAGACTCCCTCTGAATGCAACCCTCACTATTCTTTTAGCCGTCTGGACAACACATTTGAGTCTGTTGCCTCTGGGTACAACTTCAGGTAACCAGGGGCTTGCCCCACTGCCCTGTGATACTGGCTGTGTGTTTGGTTCTTTCTGGGTGGCCATGTAGTGACTACCTCAGGGTGGGGGTGGGGGGACTGGGGGTGGGACTCAGAGTTGGAGGTGCTTAGAGAGGTGGGTGAGGGGAGGTGTGGATCTGGCTCATGGCAAAGGCCAGTGGAAATTGCCAGCGCTGAGAGGATGGAGCGTCAGCTTGGCTCAGAGTGTATGTAATGGGAAAGCTCTCACCTCTTGGGGACCCTCTGGGAGGTTTGCAAGGATCCAGATGCATCTTTGGACTTGGCTCCTCGACAGCATCTGAAACCTCTCCTGGGGCTGCAGAGATGCAGGGTCTGTGGAGTTCTTATCAGTCTGCTCCCTGAGGCCCTGCCAGACTAAAGTCTCCCCTGGGCCTTGTCTCCCCAGATTTGCCAAATATTACCGAGATGCAGCTGGGGTAGAATTCCGCACCCTGATGAAAGCCTATGGGATCCGCTTTGACGTGATGGTGAATGGCAAGGTGTGTGGGCCAGTCCTCATTCTCTGACTGGACAAGGAGGGAGGAAGGGGCCTTGGGCTGGAGTGCTGGGGCACCTGCTGCCCACCCTGTGACTCTCACTTTGCCTCTCTCTCTCTCTCTTCTAGGCGGGGAAGTTCAGCATCATCCCCACTCTCATCAACGTGGGCTCTGGGGTGGCGCTCATGGGCGCAGTGAGTACCTCTCCTCTCCCCCATCCTGGGGATCAGCGGGGAAGATTCCCTAGAGAGAATGAGAGCCCGTGGGATCTGAGTCAGTAGAGCGCTCTCTGGGATTTCACTCCCATCCAGCTGTGACTGAAGTTTCTCTTTCTGGAGCCAAAGACATGTCTGTATTGCAGGGCCAGTCTCCAGCGTGGGGTGTGAGTTGGGCTTCTCTGGGATCCTAGGTGTTTTTAAGCTTCTGCTACCAAGCCAAAGGTCGTATAGCCCTGGTGTGACCACTTGCCATACAGAGGTAACTTGTGGTCGCTGTGAAGCTAAACATTGTGACACTGATGTGTCAAATGCAATAACGGGTACCCATGGTGGACAGTGTTTAGTGGCATTCCCCAGTTGAAACAAGCTTGGAAGCAGCAGTGGCATCCACTTCTGTAAATAGCTTGCCTCTGGAAACCCTATGAACCTGGAGAAAGGATAAAAGTCATGCACACAAGTGTCGAGGACTTTCGTTCATAAGGTTGCTATGAGTCTCCTATGACTCGACGGCACTTAACGACAACAACCTGGGCTTCTGGTGAAAGGGAACAGGATTAGGGTCCTCAGGGCTTCTCGGCTTCAGCACTGCTGACGTTTTGGGTATGACCATTGTGAGGCCCATCTTATGTACTGTAAGATGGCAAGAAGCATCCTTGGCTTCGACCTGCTGGATACGAGTAGCACTCCTCAGTTATGATAACTAAAACCTCTCCAGACATTGCCCAGTGTCTCATATACTGCAAACTCGTTTCCATAGAGTTGAGAGTGTCTTATAGCTGACCCTCCATTGGGTTTTCTCTGGCTGTAAATCACACAGGAGAAAATGTCCCATCTTTCTCCTGCCAACATCCCATAGTGGGCAGGCTCACCCTGGGCTGAGGGGCAGGAGCATGGGCCTGCTGTCCTTCCCATCAGTTGCTGTTGAGTTGAATCTAATTCATGGAGTCCCCATGTCTATCATAATTGAGCTGAACCCTTTGAGTTTTCGTGGCTCACTGTTTTATTGTGTTCTTTTTGGAGGGGTGGAGAGCAGATTGCCAGACCTTTCTTCTGAGGTGCCTCTGAGTGAACTTGAACCTGCAGCCTTTCAGTTAGTAGCCAAATGTGTCATCCCTCCTAGAGGTTGCCTTTCAGCTAGACTAAGAGAGACTCAGAGGAGAGGGACTCAGAGCTGGAGGCTGAAAGGCAAGGCAAGGTTTCATCAGATCCCTAAATTGCTCCTGTGTCCTGGATATAGTCTTTATAAAGACATTAAAGGGTCATTAGAGAGTGCCCATCCCACAAGCTTCCTTTCCAAGCTTTCCTGCAGCCTGCTCCTCATCCTTCTGCGTAAGAACCCATTAAAGTTTCCATGGGGACCCAAGACTTACTTCTCATTGAGACAAAAACCAAAACCAAACAGAAATCTGTGTCTTGTAAGAGTGCTTGAAGAAGCCGATGACCCTATAAGCAGTGCCTCTTAACACTCCTCTTTAGGGACCCCTGGAAGTGTGCACAGGTAACTTTCTCAGTGAGGGACTCACCTTCATATGATGTGGGTAAATCAAACACAGGGCACATATACATGTGGTGAAGGTAATGGGGCAAGAAGGTGTAGGGGAAGCTTGGGGTAGGGGAGTGGGGGCTGTGGAACAAAAATGAGAAATAACATCTCTGGCATTTGGGAAAGAAAGGGAGATTTGCAGTGCCAGGGTGCCCCTTCACCTGTCGGCCTATCTACCACAGCCCTCCCCGCCCCACTGTCCCTCTAGGTCTTCAGTGAACACGTCTCCATCATTGTAGCCTGTGCTGTGGGTGGAGTCTCCCTCTGGTGGTGGAGATGAGCATTTGCATGACCTGCTCTGAAATGAAGTGCCTTCAGGTGTGGTTGAGGAACCCACCTGCTGGGTTAATTCCAGCCTCTCTCTCTTTGGACCGTGGCTGTAAACAGGTTCCTTGTTGGTCGGATCAGTTCTAGCTCCCCTCCAGTCCATGTCTCACACCAACTGCCAGGTGCTACAGAACATTCTAAGGAGCTGTTTTTATAGGCTGGCACCCTCCTCCTTTGGAAGGCTCTCTAGTTTTGTCTGCCACAATCCCTGTGGAGTGTTACAGGCATTCCTAGCTCTGAAGTGTCAGTCTGTAACTTTCTTATTTCTGTGTTAATGCCTGCCCAACCATCAAGACTCACCCCCATATCCTTCCCCAGGCTAAGTAAAGGGTAAGCTCCTGCCTCTTCTTCACCTCCCTGTTACGGTATGTGCTTCTCTCATGCACTAGCAGGAAGGTCCTACGGGGTCTTCACTGTCTTAATCTTCCTTTGCCTTGGTGCAGTAGCTGGAGGGAGATGGGTATTCACTATGATGGCGTCAGCCTCTGCTGTAAATGATAGGGGTCAGTTTTACTTTGGCTCCATTATGGGCGAGTCTTGTGGTCTTGGACAAATATACCCATTTCTAAGACCAGCTTCCTTGTCTGTTAAATGGAGCAAATGATGTCTCCTGTCTTAGTCTCCTAGGGCTGCACCACAAAGTGAGTGCCTTATGAGAATGGACATTTAGTGTCTTTCTATTCTGGGGGGTAGAAATCCAAATCAGTATGTTGGCTGGACCATACTCTTTCTTCCTGCTGTGTGTCGGTGTCTCTTCTCTACTTGGATCAGGGCATGACTTGTACTGGATTAGGACTTGCCTCTACTCCACTGAGACCTCCTGTTAACCAGTAACATCTTCAAAGATCCTATTTCCAAACAAAGTCATGCCAACAGTCACCATTCAATCTTGGACACATCCCCACCCCCACTAGTGGAAATGCTGTAGGATCACGTGCTAGGAACTTGAGCCAGTGACTGACCTACAGCAGGTGCTCTCGGAAGTCCGAGTTCTGAGGAGTCCTAATTCCTTTTCAGGGTGCTTTCTTCTGTGACCTGGTCCTCATCTACCTTATCAAGAAGAGCCACTTTTACCGTGGCAAGAAGTATGAAGAAGTAAGGTCAGTGAGACTTCCTGCTCGTCAGCGGCCAGAGGAAAATTCTGGGATGTTCCCTCAGTAAGTCTCCCCTCTTTGGAGCGAGGAGGCAAGGGCTAACTATGGGTAGCTTCCTGCCCCTGAAAAGGGCTGGAGGCAGTGGGGTGTTCTGAGAACACACTCTATAAACAAACAACTGGGACCAGAATCACCCTAACACCAGTTTGAGAGGAGTTCCCAGGCTTTGGACAGGAGACCTGGTGGTGTCCTGTTTCTATTCCTCACCACATGATTCTGGACAAACCCCAGGCCTTTCTGGACCTCATTTTCTCTTTGTAACAAATGCGAGATTTGGTTTATGTATCATGCTTCCCAGCATTTCTTTGTTAGGCTTCTATTTGTTGTTAGGATTCTGATTCACTGGCATTGAGAGAAGCTGAAGGGGGCAGGAAAGGAAGAAACCATTTTCTTTTAAACATTTTCCTACAAGTGCCTATGTTGGTGACGGTGGTGGTGGTGGTGGATGTATTCAGAACCACATGGCACAGTGCATGATGGGACCCCAGTTGCCTGTGGGCAGGCACTTGGCCCTGGGTTCCTGGGGAAAGCTTTCTGGAGGAGCTGGGTCCAGGAGGAATTGCATATGGTGAGTTTTGGACAGGCGCCTGGGCTCTCCTTCAGCCCCTCAACCTGGGACAGGGGCTAGAAGGTCAGTTGCCATTGGCCCAGGATGAAATGACCTCCACCTGCGGACTGAACTGCCTTCCTGGTCATAGTGGCCACCCTCTGGCAGGAGCACAAGCCTGGGGCACAGGCTCTGCTGCTTGATGACCGAGGCTGACGCCCCCTGCTGGATGAGTGGTTCTCCACGACGCTCCTGGGTTCCTGAAGCCTAACATGGGTTAACAGGCTGTGTCCTGCCCAGGGGACGGGAGGTCCATGCCCCGCTGGCGCTGGCGGAGGACCAGCTGATCGAGGGTCGGAGGCAGTGCTGGGGCTGGGAGGACAAGGAACAGGCGTGGCCAGGCCCAAGAGCGGAGGATCCTGATGAGCAGAGCCCCCGAGCGGAACCTGAGGGGGAGCAGCTGGGGCTGCCTGAGCGGCCAGAGGTGCAGGATGCCAGCAATGGCCCAAAGGTGGACGGCTGTGTGTGTCAGCAGCTCGTCGACGGCTGTGCCCAGCCCACCAGGTGAGGAGCGGCTGGGGCTGGGGGCCAGCACACCTGAGAACTGGATCCCCGCAGCCTGGGAGCCACCAGCAGTGCTTCAGTGGGCTGTTGTGCTCCACAGTGACCTGGCCTGAGGCAGGCATCTGGGTGTGGGGGAGCCCGTCCAGGCTAACAGCACTGCCATCTGCACAGCATTAACCCCGCCAAGCACTGCGCTGAGCCTTATGCAGCTATTAACACCTGTAAGCTTCTCAGCACCCTAATGAAATGGATACTAATATATATTACCTGTTTGGGGGAAATTGAGGCACAGAAAGGTTAAGCAATTTGCCAGAGTCACACAGCTCATAATGTGGTAGAGCTAGGATTTGGACTCAGATGGTGTTTCTAGAGTCTCGTTATGGGTTAAATAAAAAAAGAATACTAGCGACTGGGTAAGGGGCCTGTGCCATTAGCCCAAAGGTCTCTCATTGCCGTTGAATTGGAACTGACTCATAGCTGACCAGTGGGTTTTTGGAGTCTGTCAATCACGTGGCAGCAGATGGTCTGTCTGTCAGCTGCGGAGCCACTGGTGGATTCAGACCATTGGAGAGGCATGGCCTTTGGGTTAGCAGCACAGTCATTTAAGGATTATGACACTAGAGCTCCCAAAGGCCCCTTTGGTGGTTCGAACCCACCAGCAGCTCCACTGGGAGACGGGCAGTCTTGTCCCTTGCAATTTATAGCCTTGGAAAGCAGAGGGTCAACAGTGAGTTGGCTCTGACCTAAGAGCAGTGCCTTTGGAGCTTGTACTCTTTTTTCATAATTGGGTTATTCTGTGTCCTCAGAGCCTCAATCCCTTTAAACCACAGTCATTATTATTCCTCTGAATCCCTCATGTATGTGACAATTCCAAGGAGGATGGTAGCTGGGCTGACAGGAGACCATCAGACCGCCTTTTCCTGGGGGGCTGCCCAGAAGCAGAAGTGTCCTCAGTCTGGTGTCCAGCTGAGCCAGGAGGCCTGATTCAGGCTCCTTTGCCTTTGCTTTGCTGTATGCTCTTGAGCAGGTGCCTGACCCTCGTGGGACCTCTTTCTCCTCTTCCCAGTGGGGGCTGGGCACAGGGGCTTCTCCCTCACAGACAAGGGGTCCGCAAATCCTCTGGAATGTCTCCAGAATGTTGGCAGGACTTGGGGTGGACTTTTTTTCTGGTCCCAGCTTCTCTTCCAGGATGACCTCCAGCCAAGTGTTGGCTACAGCAGAGAAAGACTGAGAAATAGACTGGGGTGCAGCAGATGGGCAAAAGGTGGAGAGGGGTGAGGAGAGAAAGGGAGAGAGGACTGAGGAGGCCAGGGCAGGACAAGGAAGTAGAGGTGTGGAGACTGTGTGGGATGGACCAGGGTCTTGAAGCCCCCAAGTACTGGTGTTCTCTGATGCTGCTGCTTAGCACCTGCTGAACCCTCTTGGCCTGTGAGGAAGAATGGCCGCCTTGCTGGCCCTGGGGGCTAGCTGGTCTTGGCCCAGTCTTGCCTGATGCTGGGTGAGGCTTTGGCTGCCACCATGGTGGCTGCTGCTGTTACTGCTGCTCACTTCGAAGACAGCTCACTTGCGTGTCTGCGCTGAGCCAGGGACCCCTACAGACAGCTTCCTCCAAATGCTCAGGCTGCTTGCAGTGCTGCCTCTCGGAGCCTGTTGGTACGGCTGTGTTTAAGGAGCCTGGCCTGGTCCACGAGACCCTAGCGGTCCTCTTTGCCCTCTGTGTGTCCCCTCTCCTCAGCTCTGGCCACCTGGGGAAGGGAGATGTGACTGTGGAGCAGCTGTAGACTCTGTAGACAGTGGAGCGGTAGCCAGGTGTTGGCTGAGCACAGAGTCACTGAAGATCTTGGGGACAGAAGAGCCCACAGCTCTGAACAGAGGAGCAGAGTCTTCGTGCCTTCACAGACAGTGGCGTCTGGGCCCAGCTTCTCTCCCTCACCAACGTAAGAGCATCAGGATCCTGCTCCAAGCTTTGAACTGTGTGCGAAAGGAAGCTTCCCAATGGCCACAGAGACTCAGACCTGGACCAGGCAGCACTGTTTAGGGATGGAGGGAAGGCTAAGGTCTGGGTGTTCTTCGCTGTTTCTGGGAACTTGGTTGGTTCACTTATTTATTCTTACATGCAGTAAACACAGATTCCTGCTGCAGGCTGAGCCTCATTCGAGAGATACTTAAATGAGCCACTGGCCTGGCCCTCAGGGAGGGGAAAATGTGTGAAAATCCCTCCAGAACCAACAGGCATATCACAGCAAGACCCAGCCACTTTGGCCTCTAGTTGAGATTCTACAGATCCCTATAGGAAGTGAATGACAAAGCTTCGTCTCAAATACTTCGGGCATGTTATTAGGAGAGGCTATTCCTTGGATGGGGACATCACGCTTCAAAAGATGAAGGGTCAGCAAAAGAGAAGACGACCTTTAACGAGATGGACTGACACAGTAACTGCGGCAATGGGCTCAGGTATTATCAGAGATGATGAGGATGGCACAGGATAGGACACAGTTCCCATCTAGGCTCGCTATGAGTCAGATTCAACTTAGTGGCACCTATCAACAATAGGGAGTGATGGTTCCTCAGAGAAAGTCCTTGGCCACCACCAAAGGGAACATCTGGCACTGTGCTGAGGAATAAAATGTAAATGTGGTCCAGGAGGCCACCAGGGAACAAGTCTGGAGGAAGCTGGTTCTGGGGGGGGAGAGACTAACCCCAAGTCTCTGGGGAGGGAAGATGGGGAGGCCTTGGCTCCATCCAACCTGCCCAGTCTGGGGGAAATCCAGGCGCTATCCTAAACCCTGATAGGAGATGCATCGGCCTGTGTGGCTTGGTTCTTGCTGCTCTGTTAGCTGAGTGTCCTTGACCTCGGTCCCCTCCTTTCTCCTCAAAGGCTTGGGCTGAAAGGTTGATGAAGGGCTAGTGAGATAAGTGCCAATGAAGGGAAATGCTCACTGGGCCAGTGTATGCAGTGACTGGGGAGGGCAAACTGCAGACAAATGATGCTTCATCTCACGCATCTTCTTTCCTCTACCCTGTTCCTACCCAAGAAGCCCTGGTGACGTAGTGTGTGACGTTATCAGGTTGCTAACTGAAAGGTTGGTGGTTTGAATTAAAGAAGATTTCTTTCAAAAGAAAGATAGGCAGTTTTCCCCAATAAAGATTGACAGCCTCAGGCGTCCAATGAAGGGCTGCTAAATAGGACTGAACTTTGGGGCAGGGGATGTGGCTTTCGGTTCCTGCTCCACCCCTGCCCTGCAGAACTCTGTGGCTTCCCAACAGTATATAAACCTTGCTGTGCAAAGTGCAGGGAGCTCTGGTGGCCTGTGGGTAAGAAACTTCACAGCAATCCCAAAGGCATGTGGTTCAAATCTACCAGCTGCTCTGTGAGAGAAAGATGGGTGCTCCAGGGGGTATACAGTAGCTGATTTTTTTTTAAGTAGATCTCCAGGCCTTTCTGCTGAGACCTGACTCTCCAACCGTTTGGTTTGCACTTCAATAGATTAACTATGTGCCTCCCAGGAACTTGGAGACCTACTAAATCGGATCCTGCTTTGTAACAAGATCCCCAGGTGACTTGTGTTCATATTTAAGTTTGAGAGTTCTGAAGAGAAGGCCGGCTTTGATCGTGGAGTCCATTTCTATTTACACACATGCCACCTTGAGACCATGAGTCTCTTCCCTGCCCAAGGAGTGTGGCATTAAGCTCAGTTTATTTACATTAAAACGCTTGACCAGGTAGTATTTATAGGATTTAAAATTCGGAATGAAACAGGTTTGGGACCAGAGTGCTAGGAATAGAAAGCAGCCAGAGCATGGCTCAAGTTTACTAGCTGCCTTGACTCAAGCTGTTTTTCAGGACATCCTAACTTTGGCAGCACACTCACCTCTCCTATAGCAACCACATTCCCTCTGTGAATAACTGCTAAGTTCCTTAAAGTTGTTTTTCAGAAACAACCAGTTAGAACCAGAGCTCAAGTCTGCGCATAACTGTCCACTGTGACCCAGAAAAGTCGCTTTAATACTAAACTTATCACCCAGGGAGGAGCTAATCCATTTTCTGAACGCACAGCACACGAAGCAGTACAATGCCAATTTCCCATTTCATACAGGAAGAATGAATATGCATGTAATTTCCAGGGATTAATATGAATATGCATAACTTCCCTTTTCTCACTCGAGACAACTGTTTGTGTGGCTCAGTCCTCAGTCTCCTTTTACTTGCTGCAAGTAAAATAAAATCTGTTTGTAAACTGAAGTGCCGCCTCTGTGCATTCTTACAAAGGACCAGCAAGGAACTTGAGCTCACAGGAGTTCTTCTTTATAACAGTAAGATCCAAAAGAATAGAGTGAAAGCTTCCCTCCCACACATTCCTAGAGGCAGCTGGTGTTGCCAATTCCTAGAGGCATCTTGACTTTGCAGAGAACCCACCTGGCTACCCGCTCAGTTCCTCAGCAGTGCACCCGTCCTGATGCTTGCATGAAAGACCAAGTTAGGAAACTGAGCAATGAGAAACAGGATGAAATATACAACACACTTTAATCCAACCCATCACACATTGTTGTTTGGTTCCATCAAGACAGAAGAGACTCATAGTTGACTATCCAGTGGGTTTTCAGAGACAGTACTGCAGATCTACTGCAAAGCAACTGGTGGATTTCAACTATGTATCTTTGGGTTGGCAGCACAGCTCCTTAACACTAGGCCATCAGGGACATAGTAAGTGCTCAGTATTTGCTGAATGAACAAGTAACTACAAAACCATATCCATTCCAATATAAAAAAATGTGATTGTCTCCGATTATATCGCTACTGCCAAGCTATTCCACAGATGAGTTAAAAAGAAGCCAGACCAAACTGTTGAATGGAAAACTAATTTGCTCTGTAACCTTTCACCCAAATCACAACTTTAAAAAAAGAAACCAGATCAACTCGTAAGCAGCCGACTCGGAGAGCCTTGTCCTTTTTAAGTCCTTCACTCATAGAGAATTTGTTTTATTGAGAAAGTTAAAGGCCAAGGATCATGCCCAACTTTTCACTTTTACTCAGAGAACAGGTTGGGCTTGTTGACAGGTTACCTCACACCCTGAAGGTGAGGGAGCTGCTTTCTCAGTCTGTTCAAGGGATGATGTCCCTCTGCCCCAGCTGAAGCCTGGCCAGCAATTTTATACCAGTTTCCAGTGACCTGTGTGCAGAGAACCAGGCTCCTCTGACAAAGGAGAAGCCTAAGAGATAAGCCCTCCCCCATTAGACTGGGCCTTGCTGAGGTGGGCAGCACAGTAGTTTTTCACAGGAGATATGAATGGGCTTGGGGGCCAGCCTTAGCCTGGTGATACTGGATAACACAGAACCTCAATCATACACCACATAATCACAAATTGCCTAGCATGCTTTGAGTTCTCAACAAGCAGTAGGAATGAGCTAAAAGTCTCCAAAGCAGTGTGACATGTAAGGTGAATAGTAGTTTTAAACTGGATGAGTGGGGAAGCAGCCCAGGAAAAGGAACCACCTGTTTAAAGAAGTTATCTTGGTGCTCAGAATTAGCAGGAAGTGTCTGGACGGGTTACAAAAGTGTTCTCCCAACCCCTTTTGTCATCTTTTATTCACACTGGTTTTGAGAAGCTTCTGTTTAATTAAATTTACTCACCTTAATTGTAAAGATTATTAAACATTAATGTCAAAGAGAACATAGCCAGCCTAATTGTTTAAGTCCAGCAAGCAACGCCAGCTTGGAGGGCATCGCTGGACACGCTCTCCCAGCTCTCGATGATGCTGCACACTGAACTAAGCTCCTTTTGGCCCCATTTTTGGTTTTTGTTTTCCCCTGCAAAATCTTGGTACATGAACTCATTAATCCTTTAGAAACGCTTTTAAATGGGGGGAAGTGATGCAGGAACTTGAACTCGTCTTAAACGTGGGAGAGGCCTTTCCCTCAGGACACTGGCTGCCTCATCAAGAACATGGGCTGGACAAGAGTGGATAATAAAGACTGCATTGGAACTGATGAAGGAAAGAACTGTTTAAAAGAAATATAGGATTATGTGTGACAGCAGTCCAGAATAAGAGGTACATTGCCAAGTGAACTTGGGGAGGGCAAGGGAGGAAAATGTGCAACAATGAATGAATGAAAATGCAATTTTTCTGTAAACTTTAGTTAAAATCACAATGAAAAAAAAGCAAAACACCAAAATCAGATTATCGTGTTATTAGGCTTTAAAAAATCCCCAAAACATGGGCTAGAAGGCTTTTAAAAGCTCTTTTCCAATCATGAAGTATCTATTCTTATGTTCAGGCACTAGATAGACCCACCCACTTATTATCCTAAGGATCGAGTTACCCCATATCTTGGGATCCTTGGCCAATCGGAAATTTGTAAATTGAGTGTTATCTGAACAACCCAGGGACCAGCTATGAAAAAAAGCAAAATGCCATCTACTACAGATACAGAAGTCATTAGAACTGGGGAGCTCTGGTGGCCTAGTGGCAAGAAGCTGCACTGCAATCCCAGAGGCGCAGGGTTCAAATCCACCAGATGCTCTGCCAGGAAAAGGAGGGACAATCTCCTCCTGTACCAATCAGATCCGATTTGACGGTGTACACACACACACACACACACACACACACACACACAAACACACAAAGTCATTAGAACTGATCAGTCCTGGCTGCCTTTTTTATACAACCTCTCCAATTAGTAGTTTGTCACAGCTACCCTACTGGTGGACCAGTTATGAAGGTGGCCTGTGATAAACACTAGGTGTCTCCGAGTACTCCAGTTATGGACAAATTTCCCAAAGTCTCTACCCACTTAGAACGACACCTTGCATGTTAAGGCTCCCCTTGGTTCACTCTGCCTCCCCTGCTCCCCTGACCCCATTGCTGCAGCTTTCCTCAGCACATACTCTCCTGTGAACCCAAGGCCTTTCTCTCCTTTAAAAAGACTTCAACAGGTTTTCTGCCAGCAGGTTCCCCCCGACCAGTAGGCAGAACTAAGCAATGGGGGAGGTGAAAGATGGCAAACATTTCCTGGGACCTGCCCAATTATGCTTCTCTCAGATATTGACAATAAAGATAACAAAAATCTAAACATATCTTGATTTCTTTTCCTGCATGTCTAAATTTTCATGGTCATCTAAGACCAAAAGACATTGGAAAGAAGAGTTAAATGGTATCAAGTTCCTCATTATCTAGCAAAGAAATTCAAATGAACACTGATACTTACATGATTGCCATTTAAGTCTGAAGAGTATTTGCTATTGTTTTATCCTCTACCTGAGGAGCTCATTGTCCTTGTGTGCCATCAAGTCGACTATGACTCACAGAACCCTATGAACAAGGCTCTAAACCTTGCTCTGCCCTGAGCCAATCTCACCGTTTCCAGTATACCTGACCCCTAGCTACACTGTCAATTTCATTGAAGAGCTTATTTCCTCAAAACATAAAGATATTAATTTGTAATTTTTTTAATAATAGTGAACATCTCAACCATAATGCCTAACAATAAGCAGAATGGTTAAGTAAATTGGCAGTCCCACCTTACCTCCTGAGATAGAAGCAAAGAATGAAATGGGCTGGGGGGGGGGTGGTATCTTCAGTGAACAGTAGAAGGATTCAGAGGTCATGGGAAAGGGGCAAAGCTCTAGTAGCCTCAGCTTTCCTGCCTTTAAGCACGTGGTCCAGAATGCAAGAAAATTCAGGAGGCCGGGGTCCCAGATCTATCTCCATTATGGGCCAGGGGCCACCTGCTGTTTGTAAAGGGAGACTTGGATTCAAGCACTGGGGCCCAATTCTGATCTAAAACAAATTACTGAGAATCCAAATCGAATAACAATACTCTTGAATACCAAGAGCCTTCGACCACTGCTCTTAAGATCAAGGCCAAACTCCCACATGGCCTTCCATGATTGATCCACCCCTACCTTATGGCCTCTTCTGTTATTTACTCTCCAGATACAGGCCAAACTCTTTCCTGCCCACACACTCTCTTGCACATAACCCCTTCCCTGCACTTTACCTAGCTGCTGTTGAACTTTCAGTTTCAAAATTAATGGTACTGCCTCAAAGACACCTTCTTTGATATCCACTTTGGAGGGTCCGTGTTATTCTCTTCATAGCACTTGCCATCATTTAAATATTTATGTAATTAGGTTGATGTTGCTCTCCCCAGTTAATACGTTCTATAAGCAAACTGTTGCTCATAACTGTAACTCTAGTGCATTCATGTTTATTTCTTGTTTAAGCAAATGGGTTTTAAGACGGCCCTCCTCACAAAAAGAGCTCATGGATACGTAATATGCACAGTCATTTACTCTAACAAGGCCCAAAGTTTAGCTTAAACATCCAGTCTGTTTAATTTCTACTAGACACACACTAGAAAAATAAGCTTGAATTTTTTTTTTCTTCTGAAAAAGACAGCTTGCTAGGTGACATGGAACTGAAAGGATACTGTTCACACCTGGAAGTAGTGGTGGCCAAGAGAGCAAGAGTAATTAAAAACTCAAACAAGTAAACTCGAACTTGACTCATAGCCGACCCTTCATCAGATTTCCCGAGGCTGTAAACAGCCTGTGAGATACCCATCTTTCTCCCGAGGAGCAGCTGGTGAATTCAAACCCCCTGCCTTGGGTTAGTGGCGGGACTCCTTGTCCACGAGGCCACAAGCATTCCCTAAGAGAAATGAAGAGGTCAGTATTTGAATGCTGGCTCCACCTCTTTAGATGTGCCTAACTGAGCAGAGGGACTGAACCTCTGAGCCTCACGGTGGCAGTAACATCAACTCCATAAGATTACTGAGGAAGAAACAGTGGGTGTAAAGTACAAGGCGTGGTGCCTAGAATACAGGGAGTAATGTACTGACATTCGATTTTAGGATGGTACCAGTAAATATTCCTACTATCAGCCTGAGCAGCCCCTCTCTCGATGAGCTCTGTATAAATTCAAAGAAACTGCAGAAGGCTAAGCCCCAGGCCCCACCGTCCAGGAGTCAAATCTTGGCGATTTGGCACCCACGGTGGACAGGGAGTGTGCATCAGGGTAGGAAAACACTCCACAACGTGTCTCACGCTTCATTTAATCTGAAGAATTATTACAGGCTCTTCGTCTTCAGATATAAATTATGGATAACGTTACAGAACAAGCAGCGAATTCAACCATTTAAAAACTAAGTTAAGTCTAACGCGGTGTTAAATTGCTGGCCACGGTGCTTTCGATCTGGTGTGTGTGGGTTTTTTTTAAAAAGTCTAGCCTGATCCCATTTCAGTAGACGTGCACCATGCCATAGAGGAATGTCCAGAACAGGACGTAGGTGAAGAGGCCTCCGATGAGACCTCCCGTGAAAAGAGGTCTTCGTGACTTAAAATATTTGTTCCACCGTCTTCCCGCTTTGAGAATCAGGAGCAAGGAGAGCAGGATGGAGGCAAGCAGATAGAAGATGAAGCCGTAGAGGCCGGTGAGGCCGAGGATGCCGGCCGTGGCCCCCGACAGCGCTGACACTGAGGTCCGGCAGTAATCCAGGACGGCGGCGTTGCCCCGCACAGCGGCCTCGCTAATGAACGGCGGCCCTTCCCGCTTGGCCACCACCGCGGCCATCGCATCCGCCGGGGCTAAGCCTCAGCTCTCTCGTGGAACAACCCGGAACTGCAAAAAACCCCCCAAAAAACCCAAAACCCGCAAGTTACAAGTGGTGGCCAGAGCTTGGCAAGTTGTGTTCACGCTGCCCCCTCCCCTTGGGGCTTCTGAGACCTTGCACCCTTCCAGGGTCTCAGACCTGCGGAGATGCTGAGATGCGGAAGGGGTCAGACAAACCGCGGATGAGCTGACACCTTTGCCTTCCACGCCCAGGCTTGCCCAGTTACCTGGAACACAGTGGAGGACACAAATCACTTGGCTTTTCCTCAAACAGGCTGAAGTAGAGACCCCCCCGGCGCCATCTTGCACTGGAGGTTGCTGGGAGAGCGCGGGATGCGCATGCGCTAAAGCCTTGCCTCCGTCCCTTGCCACTCACGCTGTAGACGCCCGGAGGCGACTTAATTGCCTCCCTCCTTTTCTACGCACGTACCGTGACTTCCGAAAGCGGAACAGCGGTCCGTTCAGTGATTGGTTAGAAGGTTGTTAACTATTCATGAGGGGGCGGAACGAGCTGGGCCGTCTTTGTTAACCAGAGAGGGTGCGGCCGTGGCAGTTTTCGCTGCGAGCTGCACGCAGTAGTTCTTGGTTGCGAAAATCAGGGTCGAGATGTCTTACATCCCGGGTCAGCCGGTCACTGCCGTGGTGGTGAGTACGTTAGCGTGGGCTCTTTCGCATCTTGTCCTAGTTTCGCAGAGCAGGAAAACTGACACTGCAAACAGGTTGTCAGAATGCCTGGGCTCCTGCAAACGGGTGAGCTCCTGCAAAGCGGGCTCTGGTTCCGTTCTGTCGAAGCGGAGCCTCAACTCCCTGAACCATCAATTAGGAAGGAATCTGGGGTCCAAGCACCTCATGAAATCGCGGAGTGAGGTCAGTTCCCGCGCACTGTCGCCTGGGGTTTAACTCCTTAAGCGACCCAGGGGGCGGGGGGCGGACAAAGGTTTTGGAACCTGGGAACAGACGACCCTTCCCGAACCTTAGTGTCCCCAGCTGGGCAGCTGCGGGGGGCGGGCGCCGGCCCCTAAGTCCATGAGTCGCAGTCTCTGGAATGAGGAAGTACTTCCTTCGCTCCAGCCGCCGCCGCCCTGCGGAGGGAAATTTGGGAAATGGGAATAGGCTGCCTGCGCAGGAACCCTTTCCTTCATTCCAGCCTCCCCTTTTCGGACTCCACCAATCACCTTCTCAGAATTAAGGCTTACACAGTTTGATCCTTCTCTGAACCTTTTCTAGCACTTGAGGCTTACTGGACCCCATCTGGGAGGTCAGCTAGGACATAAAGTCCAGACACGAGTTTAACAGCTAGATGGGGACACAGTTGGATGACAGAGCAGAGGAGTTGATACTGAGTCTAGTTGTGTCCAGACATAAAGCAAGTGTACATTGTGAAGGACCTAAAAAGTCTATTTCTCTGGAAGTTCCAGAAAACAGAGAAGGGCCTGTCTGGCAAGAGATGGCAGCTGGAAGCCTCAGCCCTAGGGCCCCAGAAACTGACCATGGTATCCTGCAGAGGAGTGTTGAGTAGTTCTGGACTCAGGCAGGTACTGGCAGGAAGCCACTGATAAAGGCGGCATGTGCCAGTGAGCACTGCCTACCAACCCAGGCAATCAGGAAGCAGGGCTGGACCTGCTGACAGCTCTTTTAAGCTTCACCCTTGCTGTACCACCCTGAGCGCCCAGGATCTGATTGGACCAGAGAAAAGGGAGTTTTTCTCCTTACCTGGAAAAAGGGGGTGCAAGTGAGGAGGCAGGTCAATGACAGGTCCCTCTCTGCCAGCTCAAGGGCCTGCAGTCCTTGATTTTGCAGGTGGAGGTAGAGGTGTGAGGGGGCAGGGCTCCCTTGGAGGAGCTCACACTTATTCATGGGCATGAGAACTCTGATCCAGTGGGCCTCAGGGTTCATGTTTCTTGTCCCTTCCCTCTTGGCTGGTCCCAGGGCCACCTTCAAAGTTCTAGGATCCTAACCCGCCTCTCCAGTTTTAACAACACTAAAAAGGTAGCTTTGGGGCCTGACCTCTCCATCTTGCATCTTGGACCCGGGCACCTAGCTCCATGTAAACATTTAAAACATTTTAATCTTTTCCTCTAAATGCTGGTTCCTTCTCAAGACCTGCCTGGATGGCTCCCCCACTCACACTGAAAATACTCTGTACACCCTCCTCCTGGGCCTCTACTCAGGCGTTGGAGCTGGATGTGAGCCTCTCCCCTCAGGAGCAATGCTCAAGTCTGTTGAGCTCACTTGCCTAGCAGCTCAGGTTCCCTGGCCTCCACATCCTACCTCTACGGGACACCTGTTACCTCCAGTCTGTATTGTTGTTGTTGATTGCCTTCGAGCAGAGCACAATTCACAGTGACCCTATGAACAAAAGGCCTGAAGCTCCTCTACAACTATCGACATTTATCAATGTTTGTAGAGTTTCCGGAGGCATGTTGTTTAGAAAGTGGATGCCAGTCCTGCTTCCAACTAGTCTGTATTAATTCTCTGAAATCTTCTTACACTCATATTTGGCCATGCCACCTGGCCCCCCAGGGGGCTCTGGATCAAGATCAGTTGACCAAACTATACCAGAAACCCCTTAAGACCAGGTGCAAATGATCCCTCTTTTGTGAAGCCCCTCAGGTCTGGATAAAAGTGGCTTCTTGGCTTTTCTATTAAAACTCTCAACTCTTGGGGTGAGGTGGTCTTGATAACAGTATCTGAGGGTTCTGAAAGGCCTTACACAGTGGGAGATTAAGGCCCCAGAGCATGAGAGGAGAGCGTGCAAGGGAACTCTTCTGTTCCTGAGTCTTTGGGGAGAGTGACTACATCCCCCACATGGGGCTTTTATCATAGGCTTGCATTCTGCCTTCCTGGTCTGGCCCCCATTTCAGCCTCATGTCAGCTCTCAGGCCCATGACCCACGCTGTATGTGACCATCTCAGGGGAATGTATCCACTGCATCTTTTTGTTTCTTTGGTCAGGGAAACCCTTCCACTGCTTTCTGTGTGCGTTTGATCTTTTCTGCCAGGCTGGGCTGCCTCATTAAGCAGTCTGCACTTTTGTGGGGCTTGATCTCTCCCACCCTATGTGACACCCCTAAGTCACACGTGCCTGAGACCAACAGGGGAAGTGGGGAGCAGCTGAGGATAGATGGTTGTATGGGTGGGTCATATGGCTGAGCTCTGAGTCTCAAGCTGGTGACCAGCTGAGTTCTTGGAGAACACCTGAGCCCTGCCCCATAGCATGGCTCTGAGCAGTCCCAGCAGTCCCCAGGCCACTGCTGGGACACACACCAGATCCATCCCCACACACTCCCAACTCTTTATTTTTTTTCTGCTTGCCAGCAAAGGGTTGAAATTCATAAGCTGCGCCAAGGTGAGAACTTAATTCTGGGCTTCAGCATTGGAGGTGGAATTGACCAGGATCCCTCCCAGAATCCCTTCTCCGAAGATAAGACAGACAAGGTGAGGGGGGTAGGACAGGGTCCTGGGAACTTCTTGTGAGGCAGAGAGGCCCAGATGGCATTTCTCTGCTTCCTGGTTTGGGGTGGAAGAAGCCGACCTTATCCTTCCCAGTACTTCTCTCTCTGAGGGTTCAAGAAATGATCTGGTGGGAAGAAGTAGGATGAAGGTGGAGAGTGGCCCTCTCCAGTCCTCCCACCCCCTCAGATGGCCTGCTGAAGGGAGGTCAGGAGGCAGCCATCAGCAGGGGGTGGAGCTCCTGTGGGGCTGCCAAGCTTTCCTGCCTGGCTGTTTTGGCACAATCTTCTTTGGCCATGTGCCCCAGGGGAAGCTGGGTAAAGGGACAGACAAAACAACTGTCGGGCTGTGCGCCATGGATGAGGGACCAATCCTGAGACCACAGCCCTTGACCTGGACTTTCTCTTTTCAGGGCATTTACGTCACGCGGGTTTCTGAAGGAGGTCCTGCTGAAATTGCTGGGCTGCAAATTGGAGACAAGATCATGCAGGTGACAAAGGTCCCCACGGAGGAAACCACGTGGGCAAGAGGGTCCAAAGCACTTTGGGGTGGGATATCCCTGCCTTCCCAGGGGAGGAGACTTACCAGAGTGGCTTGGGCCTCTGTGCTCGCGAGGCTCCCACAGGTGGCTGGTACTCTTGCCTCTGTCTTCATGAGCCACAGGGCTTGGTGTCCCTCAGCCCAGGGATATCAGCTTTGGGCTTGGATGGGTGACCCTGGGCCCCTTTTCACCTAAAGCCTGTGCAGCTTCTAGATCCCAGCAGGCAGGGAGCTAAGGCGGGCTGTGCTCTCTTTTGCTCAGGTGAATGGATGGGACATGACCATGGTTACCCACGACCAGGCCCGGAAGCGGCTCACCAAGCGCTCAGAGGAAGTGGTTCGCTTGCTGGTGACGAGGCAGTCGCTGCAGAAAGCGGTGCAGCAGTCGATGCTGTCCTAGCAGCCCACCACCGTCCCTGACTTGTGCCTGCCCACCTCTGTACAGTGACACTACCACCCTGTCTACTCCTTGTTCTGGCTTCTGCTGAGTGTTGGGCCTCAGCTCAGAAGGGCAAGAGCTGGTCCCAAAGGCATTTCCTTGAGACCTCCTTTCCCTCTCTCACCTTGGCCCGAGGGTCTGAGACCAGCTCCCTCCCACGGACACAAAGAACTGGAAACAGGGCTTGGAGGTGAGTTGTAGCCAGTCTACAATGGCCCCAGGCTCACCCCCATGCCCTACTGCCTGGCCAGATGGGCAGTGCCCTGTCAGGCAAGGAGATACCAATTCCTGAGAGTTGCCAAAATGCCGGAAAGTGACGGGCGGGACCAGGCCTCTCCCTACACTTTGCCCTGGTTACAGGCTCGGTCCTGCCCTTGTGTGTAAACTGCAGGTCTGTGCCCTGTGCTTGTTCCTACATTTCCAGCAGAGAACTTCTCCACGCACCCCAGCGGCACTGCAGAGGGTGAACCTCCCACCTGTGAACCACAGGGGCACCGGCCTCCCCAGGGTTCACCTGCTTTCAGGATCTAGATGAAGTTCAAGGTTGACATTTCAGGGCAGCTCTCAGGATTGTCAGTGTCTTCTTTGCCTGTGGGTTTTAACTTTTGTATTTTTTTTAATCACCACTTTGATACAAAGCATTTTTTTTATCTTACTATTGGGAGATGCCCACTCTAGTTTTGAATTTCGCACACTAATACATGCCGAGGGCACAAACCACTCCTAGCAAGCTAACCGGCCTTATGTTGTAACTGTAGAAATGGGGCAGTGTGATGCTACCACACCTGAAAATAAACAGCGCTGGGATTCACAAGGGGTCTTTGCTGGAGGAGGGGTTGAGGTGGGTGGGTACGGGTTAGGACAAGAAGCCCAGTTTTGAGAGTAGCTGGTTGGTGTCCTGCAGTTCTGAGTGAAGTCCAGGTGCTTCCAGGCCCACGTGTCTGCAAAGTGGAGAGGCCTTAGATGCATTAGTGAAAACATGCTGGACTTGGCAAGGACCACATGGGAGAGGGGAGCAGAGAGCACTGTCATGGAACTGGATCAAGGAGCCTGGGATGTGTGGTCTCTAGGGTGTCACTCCGGACCCCCAAGTGCTCCTAATTTCCTTTGTGTTTAGTATCAGGCCCCCTGATAGGAACACCCCAAGACCCTTTGACGTATTACAGCTAGAATGCCCCTCAGGTGTTTCCAGGGGCTAATATGGGCCAGGTGGTGGGCCAAGTGGGTAAGGGGATCCCTTTGCCTTGTAAGAGGTGGCAGCTCAAGCAGACCCAGGACATTGATGCTGGCCCAGGACATGGGTCTACCTCGCATTGTCAAAGAAAAGCCACAGTTTTTATATTTCAGATGATGGCTCTCATTTTAAAAGTGTGGTCCCTCAGTCCAAATTTAAAAACCAACATTGAGTGGCCCAGATAAAATAAGTCTGTGTGCTTGAGTAGGGAAAACTGATGCCCTTGTGGGTAAGGAATTGTGCTGCTAATACAAGGGCAGGTGGTTCGAATCCACCAGCTGCTCCAAGAGAAAAACATGGGCAGTCTCCCCTTGTGCGATTTACAGCCTGTGAAAAACCGCAACAGGATCAGCTATGAGTTTGTTTCGCTAGACAGCAGTGTTACTTTTTTGAGCAGGCTTGGGCAGGAAAAACCCCACAGGTATTTGTTACAGTTAGGGGAAGAGGACTGACAGGATGCCTTCTAGGATTTCATCCCACCCAAACTCCCACCCACCTCCTCAGCAGCTTGTCCTTGGTATTGGCACCTTGGAGACCTACCTGGCCAGTCCCTGGAACCAGCAGGCATCTTGTGCTCCCTGAAGCTTCTCCCACAGAGGGCTGGGTTAGTGCACAGCCAACAGTCACCACGGGGATCAGTGAGCTTCACGACCCTATGTGTTTCCTTCCAAAAATTAAGGCCATTTTACCAAGCCCCAAGGACTTAAATGACAGCAGCCGACACACCTCCCTCCCAAGTTGAGTGAAAGGTCCGAGTAAGAAGAAAGGAAGCAAGTCAGGCTTTAATTAAGGATATAAGCCCTTCACTGACCTTGTTAAAAAAAAAAAGATTACAAACTCAAGGCAAGCACAACGCATGTCCTGGGGCCCATCCCTCTCCACCCAGGCCACAGAGGGCACAGTGGCTGGGGTGGGAAAGGGGCAGGCAGACCAGGGCTGGGCCTGTGAGGACTGTGTGAGGAGGTGTCTTTATCTGAGGTCCCTGAACAGTCAACAAAACTGGTACATCTCAGATAGGAATCTGGGAATGCCCCAGGGTTTGGCAGGTTCAAAGGCCGTTAAGGCACAGACTGGTTGGTTGTGTCCCTGTCCTGCAGCCCAGATACAGGATAAGGAACAGGAGGAGGGGCTCTAATGGGCTTTGGCCCTGATTCTGGGAAGTGGAGGTAGGCAGAGAGAACAGGAGAAAGTAAGCCATTCACTTCCAAAGCATCCCTCTAAAAATTCACAAAGGGTTAGTACAATAACCTGATCCTATGTGACAGGCCCAGAGGGCTCTGGGCAGGAGTCCAGGCCAGGACCAGTCAAATGGGCACTTTAGGGCTCTGGAAACTGAATTAGGCAGAGAATGTGTATCAGGGATGTGAATACTCAAGAGAATGTGTCCTTCACAGGTTAAGTCCCCAAGGCCTAAACCTTAAATCCTAGTCCCACCATCACCAACACCAACACCTCAGGGTCCACCAGCCGCAGCACCTGACCACTTGTTCTCTGGGGACAGAGCAATGGCAGCAAAGTGGGCTTGTCTCCTGGCTGCAAAGTCAGCCCTGCAGGCTGTGCCCAGAAACCCTGGTAAGGTAAGGTCCTCGGCTCCAAGCTCGGTGCTCATTCCTGCCTGGAACAGATGTCAGCACCTGTGTGTGTTGCCTGAAGCCTTAAAGGAGAAGAGATGGTGGCATCAAGATGCAGGAGGCAATGCCTGGCCCGTAAGGCCTGGAGAGGCTGAGACCTCAGGGGAGGATGGGCAGGGGTGGCCACTGGTCTGGTTTTGGGAGTTGGAGTAGTCAGGTATCTGTCCCTGGGAGAGACTCCTTCGGGCTTGGGAGGGTCCTGGTTGAAGGCAGGCTGGCTGGTGTTTGAGGTGTGTGGCCCTGAGGAAAAGTGATTCTCCAGGTTGGCCACAATGCCAGCTGCACACTGCAGATTGCTTCTCTGGCCTCTGCCGAGGAGCTGTCCCCAACCAGGGCCCGGGGCCTGAGCTGTTTTGTACCGGTGACTGGGTGCTAGCTCAGCTGGTCGTACCCTGGTTTCTTTCTGTACAAACAGTAGTGCTGGATGAAGAAGACGATGTCGAAAAAGATGGAGAAGACTCCGAGGCCAAACTTGGTTGGGTCCCCGAAGATCAGCGTCCACTGGTCTGTGAAGAGTCATTGGGGGAGAGAATCCAGTTACAGGCTGGCAGTCCCTAAAGTAGCTTGGGGCATTGTGGGGCTGAGGAGGACGGGGATGCCTGTCTGTCCAGGATGCCAACGCTCCACCCACCACCCGCTGGAAGAGTCTCACCTTGGAGGTTGGGACCGGCTTGATTCCCGGGGCTGGGGCCCTGGCCCTCTCGCCTGCTGGGTGGGCAGAGGGCCTGCCGACTCACCGTTGTTGTAGGACTGCAGGAACATCTGGAGGAGGCTGAAGCTGCCCCCCGTGAAGTCCAGGAGCACATTGCCAATGCTCCAGCCCTCGGTGCTTTTGTAGTAAAAGTTCATGTAGGCCTGGGCAGGCGAACAGACAGATGGGGGCAGTGAGGGGGCTGGCGGTGGCCTCGCACCCTATGTGACCACTGCTCCACACAAGAGTGGCTCTCATTCTCCCCTCCTACATCCCCAAGACTTGGATCAAGGGAACACGCTGGCCGTTGGACCCTGACATGCCTTAGTCAAGGGAACCATCTGTGCGGGGCTTGAGGTCTCATCTGCAGGTACAGCAAACAAAGCCCATCACTTCCCCTGCACCTCAAAGCACCAACAGGGAGGAAAGCGACGCCCTCTTCGGCTGCTCACCCCACCCAGTTCTCTTCAGAGCCCTAGCATGGTTTTTCTAGCTACTTGGTTTGGCTGCTTATTTCCATTCTGGATAAAACACAGACTGTGACATGGAGAAGGGAATGACCACGTACAACACGAGGCCAGCGAGGTCTCTGCTGGTCCCCTCATGGAGCCCTCCACTGCACCTGCTGGCTCATCAGCCTCTATCTAACACCTCACCTTGCTTGTACCCAGGCCCTCTCACCCCCACTGGAAAATGAAAAAGAGATCTCTGAGTACCTGTGGGAAGTACTTGACCAATGTGACGGCGAGTTTGATGTAGGAGAAGCAGAAGAGAAACTGCAGCCACGTGGTTGCCCCGACGGCAGCTACCACCATGGTGATGAGGGCGAAGAGGCAGGAGAGTGCCAGGAACCCGATGGCAGGCCACGACACACGCTGGGCGCCTCGCTGAGGTTGGGAGTGGGACAGCAGAGGGGTCATCGGGTCAGGGGTGCAGAGAACCAGGCTGCCAGGGCCAGGTTGGCTTGGTGGTTGGCCGAAGGGACACGTATCAGCTGGATGGGAGGGCAGCTGTGGGCTGCGAGGGAGACGTGGGGAAGGGGGTGGGTTGCAGGGATCATCAGGCATCATGTCCTTTATCCCACCTGGAGGCGGGTCTCCATTTCAGTCTGTCATGGAGATTTCCACAGGTACCTGCCCTGACTTATCCTTGTAGGAGAAAAAAATGCCAGGGGTACCCCCCACCCCGCCCCAAGGAGATCCTGCAGCTAAACACAGCCCATTGCCGATCCTGATGGAACCCAGTGATTCTGGAATTTGTCTTCACCCCTATGGGCTTCATAAGCGTTCTATAACTGGAGGCAGGTAGGACAGCTCTTGAGGGAAGTGGCGCCAAGGGTAGGAAGTGAAAGAGGCTGTGACAATTGGCTCTGACCATGTCCCACCCCTGCTCACCTACCAGATGGCCCTCCACTCACAAGACCAAGCCCAAACCCCTTAGCCAGGCACATAAGCCCACCTTGGGCCTGCTCCCCGCTGGTACTTCAGACCCCAGCCTCCCCCATAGGCTCACAGCTCCTCTCAATACTCCTCAGCCACCACTCATGCCTCCCCTCTTCAGCTTCTCCAGGGACCTGACTCATCCTATTCACCTTAACTGAATGTCATTTCCTCTGAGGCCCTGCTCCCTCCTTCCTGGCTGGCTCAAGGTTCCACAAGCTGCCTGTGCTGCCCTTTCCAGCATAACTCTTAGCTTTTCTGTGTCCCTCAACCCTGACTGGGAGACCCAAGGACTTGCCTTACATGGTGTGTCTGTGCCCAAATGGAGCCTGGCACAACATTTAGGCACTGGGATGGGAGGAGACACACACACACACACACACACACACACACCCTCTAATTCATTGCTGTCAAGTCAGAACCAACACAGAGCTGACCCTCCAGCAGGTTTTCAGAGGCTGTAAATCAAACAAGCGGGGATTGCCCATCTTTCTCCCACAGAGCAGAGCTCATGGATTTGGGGATGGTAGTGCAACTCCCTACCCAACAGGTCACCACAGTACTCAGGCACCAGAAAGTAGATGCTAAATGAACAAAGCTTCTGTGTCTTTTGTAAAATAGCTGGCATGGGGGGTGGTGGGGTGGTGGTGAAATGACAAGTTCCCAGGCCGCTCCCCACCTCGTATAGGAAGCACTGCAGGATGACAATCAGGGTGAGGACCACGGCGTGCAGGCTGAAGAAGACGTCATTGTTGTCCACGGGGTTCACTCCATTAGGGTATTTGAGGAGAAACTGCTCCTATTGAGGGGTGAGGAGAAGCTTGGTGGCAATTGGCAGCCAGGCCACCACACAGCTGGGCCGGGCTGCAGGGTGTGAACGGAAACATACCTTAATGAAGGGCACCCAGATGAGGCCAATGTTGAACACGCTGTAGGCCACAAAGCCCAGGAGGTTCAGGGCCACGAAGTCAAAGCTCAAGCCAACCACACTGGGTAGAGAGAAAGCAGTGTAGGAGTTGAGGCCTGGGGTCATGAGGGGAAATGGGGGGATAGAGCTCCCAGGAACGTGGAAGGAGGGCCTGGTCTTCCCCAGGGATAGCACTGTTCCATCCGCCAATTCCCGCTCCTCTGAGGGCAGGCTCTCCTGTCCCTCCCTCAGAGACTTATGCCCCAGAGGGAAGTCTGTAGGCCTCCTGCAGACCAGAGGCATCTCCCTCCTCGCTCCCAGCTCAGCAGGCCACTAGGAGGCCCATGTGGCAGGGTGATGACTGCAGGGTGTTTGCACCCCATGCAGATGCACGCCAGACTGGGGTGGGTGGGACACACCTTTTTGCCACTGTGGTCCAAAACAATTATGCCCTAACTGGAGATGCCCTGGCCATAGGTAGACCACAACGCTAACTGGTTAATCTATTCAACAAATAGTTATCAAGAGCCCACTGTGATACAGTATTGCCAGGTTCTTGGAGTGATGAAACAACAACCACTGTCTGCCCCCCGCCCCCAACCCCTCAGCCCCAGTTAGTGGCAGAGAAGCAACAATGGGCAATCATAAATAAAAGCAACACAGAAACTGCCAGAAGCACTAACCCGAAGCCTACCAGATGGGGATTCAGTCTCCTGAAAAAGTTTCCCTAAGTCATGTTAGGCATGATCCCATACGTAGGATCCTTTGGGTCGGAGGCTGGTGCCAGGAAGTGAGGAAAAGCCTTTCAGACAGAGGGAACAGCACGAGGGTGGTCGGAGTGGAGCAAACAAGGCTGGGATAAAGGCTGGAAAGGCAGGCGGGGAGGCTAGAGCAGGTTTTGTTTTTAATGCCAAGAACAACAGGAAGACACTGGAGGCAGTAAGATCAGATGTAATTTCTGAAAAGATCACCCTGGTTTCTGCAAGAACACTGCAATGAGAAAAGAGCGGGGGGCAGGGCCCAATTAGGATGCGATGGCCAAAGTCCAGAGAGCGACAGTGGTGCTGGGATGATGGCAGAGCTGGAAATGAGGTCAGATGGATTTGAGAGGCTTAGCAAGGGAAACTAAGAGGCACCAGGGGTGTGGAGAAAGGGAGGAAGGCTCGAAGACTTTGCGCAACTGGATGGACAGAGGGAGCAGGGCCAAGTCAGGCAGGGAGGGCCATGCATTCAGCCCTGGCCTCCACTTGAGAAAGGCTCAAAAATGTGTGGAGTCCACAAGTGCTCACCAAGCACGACATTCCAAAGCGAGGCCTGGACATGGGTCTGAGTCTGATCCTGGCCCTGATTCTCCCTGCGTACTTAGTATCCTCCATCACATCCTTTAGTTCCTGCTGAGTCCCTGACATGCATAAGCAGGCCTATAGTCAGAATCAACTGCCCAGAGGGATGTCTGCTCTAAGTGTCAGCTCCTCACAGCCTAGTTAGCAGCCAGAGAGGGTGGCACGCTCTGTGAGATCAGCTGAGTTTAAGCAGGGGAGGGAACTGTGTGTGTGTGTGCAGGCCTGAGGGGCTCAGGTAAGGCAGCTGTCCAGGACCCTACACCAGCAGTGCAGGTCTGGGCCACAGAGCACAAGAGCATAAGTGGAGATCTTGGCAAATGGTCCAGTCTCCTCTCCACAGTAGCTGCTGAGGAAATAAAGATCTCGGCTGGTGGCCTAGAGGTAAGGAGCTGCACTGCCAACCCACAACCAGGTGGTTTGAATCCACCAGCTGCTCTGCAGAAAGATAGGTACTTTCCTCTTGTGCGATTTACAGTCTCTGAAAACCTGTTAGAAGACCATCTATGAATTGGTTCCAACTAAATGGCACATTAACAACGCTGCTAGACAAACAGCCTGATGTTACAGAGCCTGTGGGAATGAAGCAGCACAGACTGCTGGGAGTTTGGAGGTAAGTTCAAGTCCACAAGCACTTTCTCCCCATGGTTCTCAGGGACAAGTCAGGGAAGGCCACTCATGGCTTTGGGGTCCTGGACCTACGTGTATAACCATCTTCACCACATTCTTACTATGGACCTACAACCAGTCACTCGGGCTGCTCTGACTCCTGTCTGCAAAATAGGACATGTGCTACCTCACAGGGTTGCTGTGAGGTGAATAAAGTCACCGTGGAAGGAAAGGCTCAGAGTCTGGCACAAGAAGATGCTCAGGGAAGATGCACCGTGCAGAGAGTGCCCCAGCCTCTCCTTTCTGAGATTCCACAAGGTGGCAGAGGGAGACTGCACCTTTGGGAAGGACACAGGCTTGGCACCCAGAGGCAAGCCACGTACTGAGTTCCGGGAGCTCCAGTGCAGGGTGACTGGCACACCCTGCCTGCTCGCCTGCTCTCTGTGCAACAGTTTTTAGATCAGTGGCTCTAAACTCTTCCTGCTACCTTTTTTGTTTGCTTTTTTCTTTTAAGATAAAAAGCATGGTTCGTTCCCGGGTTTCGGCACCAAAAAAAAAAGATAAAAAGCAAAGACAGATTTATTAGAAAAGACATGCCCCATAGGAAGTAATGGAAAGAACACAATGGAGGAGGTCCAGGAATGCTTCCTTGATCTGTATCCAAACTCTGACCTCTTCACGGCTGTTCTGACACTCAGTAGTGTGGACCACTTGCTACTAGACCTCATCATTAAAAGATAGAAATGACAGTGGGTCTTTAGAGAAGGTGGTGCCCCTGGTCTGTCTCCTGCAGCAGGAGGGACGTGACTACAACCTGGCTGCCTTCCCCAGGCCAGTACCTCGGGGGAGCCCTCAGCGTTCCTTTTTTCCTCTCTGTGGTTTCCAGCAGCACAAAAGTGGCTGCTGAGATAGTATCTTCATGACGGACATAAGCAGGGGTAGACTTAGCAAAGGACCAGCTCTGGCCCAGCATGGCAAGTCCTATCACACGCTCCTAGAGAGAGCCTGCACATCAAGACGTCTTTCCAGAAAAGGAAGGAAGAGAGGAGTGCAGAGTGATGGGATGACGCGAGCTTCTGGAAGTGCTCAACCTACCTGCCCTGAGTGACTCTGTACATGAAGCTCAGCTCCTTACCTTTTCCGCCTCCAGTTCGTGAGCACCTGAGGGTAGAAGGAGACGGACCAGGCCACAAAGTAGATCCAGCCAATCACCTGGTTTATGATGTTAACAACATTGCTGCGGATCACCAAGAAGCGGATCCGGGGCCTAGAAAGGAATTAGGGGACTTGGGTAAGCTGAGGCTGGGCTTCTGAAGAAAATGTTCCCCAAACCCCAGTCCCACCAGGGCCTCCCTTCTCATCACATAAGGCCCAGCTGGACTGCGGCCCACCTACCCAGTCTGGTTGGAATGGTTTCCATGCAGGTAAGTGGTGACTTGTCCAACATGTTGAGATATCACTTGAAAAGAGGATTCTGTGGCTCCGGGAGGCACCACAACCTGTTAGGAAGATGGGATTCCATCGACGTCACACGTAGTTATTTATGGAGGAGGGACTGCACTGGGAATGGAGCGGCACACTAGTCATAGGCCCTGCCTTCCAGGAACCTGCTAATCCATGGGACAAATAATGCTCATTCTCTCACTCACTCCCCCCTCCCCCCCATGTGCTAGACTTTCCGAGGAGAATAAAGGCTCTGCCCTCACACTTTCCCTCTTTGACTAATCATGTGAACTTGGGCAAGTTATTCAAACTTCTGTTCTCAGTCTGTAATCTGTAAAATGGGGACAACACAAGTTATTTTCTTTTAGGGGTGCTAGGGACTATGAACATTGCTAAATGTCAATAGTTATAGAAAGGCTTCAGGCCTTTTGTTCATAGGGTCGCTATGAGTTGTGCTCCACTCTATGGTAATCAACAACAGGGAGCACTGGTGGCCTAGTGGTAAGAAGCTGCGCTGCAATGCCAAAGGCACATGGTTCAAATCCACAAGTGGCTCTGCAGAAGGATGGGCAATCTTCTCCAGTGCGATTTACTGCCTCTGAAAAGCTGTGGGAGGGTCAGCTATGGGTCAGTTCTGATTCGACAGCATACAACAGCAACAGCAGCAGCAACAGCAAGAATGAACCCGAGTCCTGGGTGGTGCAAATAGTTGATATGCTCAGTTGCCAAGCAAAAGGTTGGAGGCTTGAGTTCACCCAGCAGTGTTTCAAAGAGAGGCCTGGTGATCTACTTCTAGAAAAATCAGCCATTGGAAACTCTCTGGAACACTCCTACTCGGACTCACGGTCAACAAGAGTTGGAAACAACAGGTTTACTGATTTCTGAATGATTCAGTGCTCATGCAGCTGACGGTACAAGGCCTGGCACACAGCATGCTTTTTGAGTGATCAGTGCTAGACAGTGATGTCTACCACGACCTCTGGTAAGTCTCTTAACAGCTACAGAAGGACGTCTACATCACGTCCAGCTTTGCTGCCAAGAGACAAAACAGAGGAGTTACAACACCAGGTACTCAGCAGGGAGGACACTGTCACTGTCACGTCTGTCCAAGGTTTATTAAAAGCTTTGCTCCAGAAAAAAGCACTTAGAGGTCTGCCAGCAACAGAGGCCCTCCTCCTCATTCTTTCTTACTTTCTCATGTTGCCCCAGAGTGTCACCCAGAGAGCTAGGTGATGCTTCTACTGAGTCAAACCTGCCCTGTTCCCTGGATAACACACTGGGCCCAGCCTCCACTTACACTGTGCATCACTAGGAGAAATCTAGAGAGCTCTGGTGGCCTAGTCTGAGGGGTCTGTGCTGCTAATCCAAACGCTGTGCCTCTCTGATGACTTGAACCCACTAGCAGCTCTTCCAGAGTGAGCGATCTTCTCCTGTGTGATGAACAGACTCTGAAAACCTACTGGGGGGGGGGGGGTGGTCATCAGTGAGTCGGTTCCAACTTCAGGGCAATGAGCTTTGATGGGAATGAGCTTTGATCTGGCTTTCCAGCTCATCCTCAAAGCTACTATGAGGAGCATGCCGCTCACTCAGAGGTTTCTTTGTGAAGATCCTGGAAGCACTGCTTTTTGGTCTAACACCAGAAATCAGGGGATTTCCCAAAACAAGTGAAGCAGCTGCTGCTGCAAAGCCTGGAGTCAGGTTTCTGGTTCGTATCACCTTGCAAGCTACATCTTCGTCACATGTACTATTACTGGCTCTGTTTTATTTACTTGTCACCTTGTTTTTTCCCTTTAATTTATTTTCACAGCAATGCTGTTTGCATTACTTACAGTACCAGTACCAGTTGCTATTCAGTTGATTCTAATTCTAGGTGAACCCATTTCACAGCTATGACTTTTCAGAAGCAAATCACCAGGCCTTTCTTCCGAGGTACCTCTGGGTGGGTCTGAACTGTCAAGCTTTTGGTTAGTAATCAAATGCTTATCTGTTTGTACCATCACTATATCCCTTCTGGAAACAAGGAGAAAATCAATCAGAATTGTCTCCTTCTTTCTCCTACTCTCTCACTCATGATAATCACTGATGGAACCGGTCGTGTACATGGATGTATTGGCCTATTCTATTTCATAAAGGAGGAGCCTACAACATTTGTCCTGTAGTCTCCGAGCAATTTCACTCAGCAGGTTTTCAAGTTTCATCCACACTGAATGCTTTATGTGAAATATTATAGATTTTAAAACTCTGCTTTAAAAACTGTACTGTTTGAAAAGAGGAGCGAAATACGTGTAAACACCGGCCACGTGTGTTTCAGTACTATTTGCTTGAGCTGACCTGCAGCCTGCCTCTACAAAGACAGATGTCATAATGCACCTTCCAGGTATCAACCTCATTCCTGGATTCATCTTGATGGTGTCTTTAAAAAAAAATCAGTTAAACAGTAACTGGCTCAAATCCTTGGTAATGTGAACATGAAAACCAGCTGTTCCCAATGCAACGAGACTCCATGTGTGTCCCAGTGGAACGGTGTTCCATAGGGTTTTCAGTGGCTGATTTTATTGGGAGTAGCTTTTCAGGCCATTTTTCCAAAGTACTTCTGGGAGGACTTAAATCTGTCCCCTTTTGGTTAGCACCACTCATGTACTTAAATGTGGAAATAATGCACGTAAGCAATAGACAAAAGCCTGAAAGCTAAGACTAGTCACCAGTACACTAAATAGCCTCTGGCACTAGTTTTTGGACTTGACCTTGACCAATAGTGTCTCAGCACAGTACTTCTCACACTTGAATGTGGACTCAAATCAGCTAGGGAGCTTGCTAACATGCAGATTGTGATTTAGGAGGTTTGGGAAAGAGCCCGAGGTTCTTGGGAGAGATTTTTCAAGCAAGGCCAAGGCTGTTGGTCCATGGAACACTCTAGAGTAGAGAGGTCCTAGAAAACCATCTTTAATTCTTCTACAGTCTCTGCACCAATTTGTCTCAAATTTCTTACCACTGTCCAATTCCATCTATATGAGAATGGCATAAAACATCATCTGCAAAGAGGGCAACAGGTCTAAAGCATAATATTTTTAAAGTAATGGAACAGGGGCAGTCCACCATCTAAAAAGAAGAGGGTCTATTTCCACAAATTCAATAAAAACACATTTTTGCTACTTAGCATTTTCCTACCCACCAGGCAGATTTGCTACTTACTTCATCAGGGAGCTTAAGGATCGTGATGTTTTTGGAACGAAATGTGATTTCAAAGGTGATCACCAAGGTTACATTTAATGGATGCCTGTGGAGGACAAAAAGTCTGATTACCTCTTAAGAAGCCAGACATTGTGCAACTGCAGTCCACCCACAGGAGTTCACCTGGGTCCTGTCATTTCTCAAGTCAGTAAAAAAGTCCTCAAACCCTTCACTGTTAAGTCAGAACTGACTCTTAGTTTCTGACTCATAGCTGACTCTTCAGTGGGTTTCCCAGAGGCTGTAAATCACATGGGCCAAGTCTTTAGGGTCAGGAAATACTATCTATGTGTTTCACCTTAAGGGGGGGAGAGGTGGAGTCTCTGCTCTGCTCTGCTCTGCTCTGTATCTTTATGAGGAGATAAAGATCACAAGGGAGGAGGGTGACAGCGTGAGAAGACAGAGAACTGACTGCAACTACCAAATGAGGCATCCAGCCGTGGGAGGGTCTGAGCAGGGATTTTTGGGAAGGTCAGGACTTGACCATCAGAGGCCAAGGCCTTCCAGACAGAGAGATGTCCTTAGAGGCCCAGGAGATGTGTCTACCTGCATAAGTTAGACACATCAGCTTGGAGTAACCCTTGGTGGGGGGCCTCAAATCTGGAAAATGACTTAGAAGAATTATAATGAGTCAGTATGCAAAGATGGCAAGCGTTACACATGGAATCCTGGCCTGTCGAGGAGATGTGAGGCCAGGGAATAGGGGAAAGTGTAAAAGACAGGGCTCCAAGGCTCCATCTCAGGGAATCTTCACAGTGGGAAGGCAGGGTAGGATGAGGCAGCCAAGGAAACAGGAGGGTAGGCTAGGGTCTCTGGGACAGTCTGGACAAGGACAGGGCCCTCTTGTCGGAACCCGCAGAGGTTGTAAGGAACACTCTCTGGACAAAGGTCAACCATGAGGTACTGCATTCCTAAGAGGTTCTCAAGCAAGACCAAACAGCTGGAACACCCTTGAGTTGCAAGGTCTTAGAAAACAATCTTGACAAGTTCCTCTGCGTTTGGTTCCACAAGCAACCTCTGAGGTGATGCTGGTGAGCAGCTCAGCTCTGTGCTCCTGTCCCTTCAGGACTCTCCCCAAATAAAAGGCCTCTCCTCAGATATAAAGGGAAGGACCTCTGTGGGGTCGCATCAGCTTCCGGCCACTCAAGGATCCTTTTTACTTGAGAAAAAGGTCTAGTTCTCTGGGGGGAAATTCTGCTTCCTCTTCCCACTGGAAACAAGGAATTGATGCGGGCCAGGTGACAGGCTTGGGGCCTTGGTCTACAGCCTGAGGCTTCCTCAACTCTCACCTCTAATTGCCGGTGAATCAGAGGCAACTCAGTTAACTCTCCAGAAGGTTTCTGAGGCTGCACATCACATGACAGGAGATTCCCCATCTTCCCTTGATGGAGTTGCTGGTGGATTTGAAGTATCAGAGAGGCACTACCTTTGGGTCACCAGTGCAACTCTTCAGAGGCTATCACTCTAGTACTCCCTCAGCCTGAGGCTAGCACCTCTTTTGCTATGGTTTGTCATGTAGTTAAGAGGCAAGAGTCTCCAACTTGTAATGGACTGAGCAGGGTCAGCCCTGGCCTAGCCTGGGGGAGGAGAGGTAGGGCTGGCGGCTGGCCTGGACTCTTACCCAAGGGTGATGCTGACATTGGCCGAGCTGCCGTTTTCTAGTCTCACAACGGGAGGAACAGCGATGTCGACGGTTGACTCTGGAAGGACCCCAAAAATGACATGAGCCATTAGGTCAGAGAACTTAGGTCTCTGAGGAGGAACTGGGATGAGGCCCCCTGACAACTCTGACTCACTGCAACCCCTTTCTAGACAAAGACCTGGAGGTTCTAAGAGGTTAAGTGGCTAGAAACCCAAACCTCCATGATGTTTTTTCTTCCATGTTTCCCAAGATAAAGAGAGAGGAAGAGAGACGCCTGAGCAAGACGTCTTATCGCTTCTGCCTCTCCCTCCACTGACAGGCTCTGAGGGTCTGTGACTGAGGCACCCAGAGAGCTTGAGAACTATGAAGCTGCAAAATTGTCTCAGAGGAATTCGTCATGTTGTCGGATAGGAAAACAGAGACCTAAATAACCTTGAGTCATCTCTTCTGATGGACATCTTCCTCATACTAAAAGAGGCACAGGGAACCCAGCTAACCACCTTTTCTAAGTTTCAGAACCCAGCTCAGCCTACTTATTAATCTCCTTCCTAAGGGCTATCTGTTGGATGTTGGAGAATAATGTTAATTGTAGTTTCTCACTCTTCTATTCTCTGACTACAAGAGAGAGGTGGACATTATTATTCCTATTTTGAGATAAGGAAATTGAAGATCTTAAAAGAGAAAGTATTCTTTCCACCTATCTTGGGAATGGCAGAGGTAGGATTCAAACCTAGGTCTGTCTGGTCTAAAGTTTAGCTTCTTGCAATAAGGCCACCAAAAAAGTCAAAGATTAAAAAAAAAAATAAAACAACCCACCAAAAAACTTAGGCCTAAGTACCTCATCTACCAACCTCAGTGATCACACCCCAAAGCAAAGAGATGAAAGTTACTTGATTTTACAGTGTTGTTATTGTTGTTCTATACTGTTGAGTCAGAACTGACTCAGAGTTCACTCTGCAGTGGGTTTTCAGAAGCAGTAAATCACACAGTTGGAAGCTTCCCATCTCTTTCCTAAGGAGTAGCCAGTAGATTTGAACCATGTACCTTTGGGTTGGAAGTGAAACTCCTTACCACCAAGCTACCACAGCTTCCATTATTTAATAAGGACATTAAAGACGTGAAATGATATAGCAGAGCTGGGATATTACATGCTGGTCTCAGATTTGTTATTTTCTAGCCCTGTGTCTCTGAACAGGTCTTTCACCTTCTCTGGTCCTCAGTTTACCTTCATATAATCAGAGGTGGTGGTAGGTGGATTTATGGTTCTCTTCTAGGGGAGTTTTAGAGTTACAAATGCCTTAGTCAGAGAATATACTGTGGGAGGCATGGGGTGGGGCTGCAGCACTTGCATATTTTAAAGACACCCCCAGATGAGCTGGACCACAGATTGACTTGAGAAACACTGGGAGTCAAGGTCCAAAGGACCTTTTCTTCTCTGAAACCAATTATTCACAGGTGACAAGGCAATGTGATGTGCCAGTGTAACAAACCTGGCAGGGCGGGTCCGATGACCCTGTTTCCTTGAGGTTCCAGAGGCCATAAAACTGTAGCAATGCAGCCATTGTGTGTGGATCTTGGGATGTTTCTACTGTGTTTGCAATTGTCTGCACAGGCTTTCTTTGAAAGCCTTCAGTTAGGAACTTTAAGATCTAACTATCGATTTTTGGCAACAGCTAAGCTAACGAGCAAAATTATAAGCCATCTATCTGTCCTTGGAGAGTAAAATCTAGCTCTTCTTAGCAAAGGAATTCCAGAGATGTTTTGGGCAGTGGGAGAAATGCTGGAACACTGTGGGCTTCTAAGAGGCCTGCTTTGAAAGTCAGTGCTAACAAAGATGAACAAACTCTGAAGTATTTTTCCACAACTGGTCTAACTTTTGTGTGACCCTAGATCTGCCTTGACGGCGGCACCCGGTTCCTCAGCCCCTTTCTAAGGGAAGGGTTTTCTCATCTTACAATGGGGTGCCCAGGCAGACTCCCCAGGTGGTCTGTACCTGGCAAGGCAAGGCTCACCCTGGTTGGCCCCTTCACCTTCTTCTAAGACCTACAACTCCTTTCATGGGGTCCACAGGGCAGGGCAAGGGTATAAATCTTCCATATAGAAACAAATTCACATAGTGTCTGTTTGATTTACAGTCTGATTTACCAACTGTTGATTTTGATGATACAGAAAAGGTAACTGGAAGCCCAGGGTAGACGGCCACTTGTTTGTGGGACCGTATGGCACCTTGAGTTAAACTCCTGGGCTGTAGGGATTAAGCTGATCAAGGCAGGCGCTACCTAGATTAAAAGAATGTAAACAATGTAATCAGAGCAAAATGATACTGTCTTATGTATGTGTATGTGCAAAATCTTGATTCTCCTGCTGATTTATTTTTTTATATGTATTTTTACATTTTATTTTTATTGTTGAGAATAAAAATATGAATGCTTCACGAATTTGCATGTCATCCTTGTGCGGGGGTCCTGCAATCTTCTCTGTATTGTTTCAACCTTAGTGTATGTGCAAACACTCCTGCTGACTTCTGTTATGGTTGTGGTGTTGTAAGTAGGAAGGGACAGTAAATAAGAAATAGTAAACAACATCGTATGTTGGGACTCTAGTCAACACGCTTGTATAATGAAAAAACATCAAATAAAAGAGGATGTACAGGTTGGGAGGACATCCAACCATGAGCTCCTCTCCACTTATTTCTGGACTGATGTAAATATTGAGTAGTTCATTTCTCTGCCCAGAACTTTCCTGATGGTCAGAGAATTGTAACATCCGACCACACCTAGAGACAAGCAGGAACAGGCAGTCTGAGAAGTTCTAAACACTTGGCTATAAACAGATCAGATTACCTGTCCTAGAGTCCCCATGTCCCAATTTACAAAGATGACCCATATCCAAACTTACCGCCTTTTTCTATAAGCTGCAGGGGAAGCAGGAAAACAATAATCAGCCAACTCCTCGCCATGTTCCTCGATTTCAGAGAGCTAGGGGAAAAAAGCAAAGGCCAGAATTCAAGCAAAGGTTCAGTCAGTGTTGCTCCAGCTGAACACTATGCCAGGATGGCATGGGACAGCTCATAAGGGACCTCTCACTTCACACCTATGACTTCATGGGCTTGGCATCACAACCTCAGAGGACCCTAGAGAGGGCTTGTCTTTCTTTGGTTTGTGGTGAAACGTGCTCAGAGCAGCTAAGAGGGTGGTGTAAGTGATCACTCATGAGGAAGTGAACAAAGACTTGAAATTTTTCCCTCTTCAACTGCTTCTCAAAAGCTACTTAACAGAAGAAATGTTATTTTGTTGGCTGAACTTTTTTTCTCCCCAGCTAGAAAAGTTACTGAAACGGAGGCAAAAATTGGACTCTGGGCACCCCCAAGACCTAACAATTTCCTGTATTGGGGTAATTGTGCAAGGGCTTATGCCACTAACTGACTAATTTATTCAGCAAGTGCCACTTTCCCAGAGATCATTCATGAAGGAGACAGAGGCATAGACAAGCTCCAGATCAGATATTGGAACAGTTCACTGGTTTAGTGAGGGAGAAAGGCTGCTGTGTACCCAGTACGCAGCAGGTGAGTCATGGGTCACGTGTAACAGGCCAGTGTGGGGCTCTACATGCTGCCCCAGGTCCAGTGTCAGGGTTCTCCCACCCTGAGCACCTCTGGGAATTATTGCCAACTGTGAGGAGAGCTGGGAGAGGTCAGTGTGGAAATATTCCTGCTCCTACTCTGACCTCAATTCCCTCAAAGGACCTATAGGAGACTGACAATCTCTGCTCCTTTCAAAGGGGGCCTGTTGAAAACCAAAGGTAAAGTAGAAAATGAGACAGAACACCAAAAATAAGATAAAACAGCATAAAAAACAGGAGGCCAGCAGTTAAAAATAACTGAAGTGCCACAACCCATGCCTCTCTGTGTATTTAATGAGAATCACGGGAAGTAAATCATAAAGAGAATTCTCTTGTAAATGAAGCTGAGTTTTTCCTTTATTGTCAACCTAATGCTTAGCTCAGGAAGGAAGTAGTTCACATGTATTAACTCTACCTCTGCAGGGGGACCCTAGCTGCCTCTTGTCTGCAGGAGGCAGCTCATTTCTTGTGATCTGTCACAAGGGAAATTCTAACTTATATTTTGTGTTTCCTTAAATTTCTGATTAAGCATTCTGTTTATCATATAATATTTACTATGAAATTTGGCTTCCCAAAGGGGCCTTCTTGATACATCCTCTCCCTCACAGAACTCTCCCTGACTACAGACTTCCTTTCGGCTACATGTTCCCATCTCTAGAGACCTTTCTGCCAGCTGGAGATTACAATGGCACATTAGACCTCAATTCCAGAGCTTTCCCCTGCTCTCTTCATTCTGGGACCCTTGCCTGTGAAGTGTCAGTCCTGTGCTGACTGTGTATGCTGACCCACAGGGAGTTGCTCTCCTGTGTTTATAAGCTTTTTTCTCATTTATTCTGCTTTCTGTACCTCCTCACCTCAGTGTTGTGGCCTCAAGTTAAGGATTCTCTTTGTTCCCAAGGATGGTGGCTCTTTTTCTTTGCAGAGTCAAGTCTAGCCAGTTCCTCTTTCCTTCTGCAGGAATGGAAGGTGGATTAAAAAACTCTTGGTCAGGAAAAGGCTCCCATGTCCACAACCTGACCACTTTGGAGGAAAGACATCAAAACAGATAGAAAGACATGGAGACAGAAGGCAACTAACATGTTCCCAAAGGTCAGAACTATACATTGCAGTGTAGTACACGATCGTCTTATGAATGGTACAACATAGAAATGTTTCTTTCTTTCCAGGGAAGTCCTAATGAGGCAGATCCAGGCCAAAGAAGATGAAAACTAACTGAAAACAGGAAACCTGTTTTGAGGCAGGCCCAGGCCCAAGAAGACACTGTTTTTGTTGTGTGCCCTTGACTAGCTTACGACTCATAGTGACCCTATGTACAACTGTCCTACAACCTGCTCTATCCTGTGCCAACCTTATTATCTCTGACACACCTACCCCCATTACCCCAGTTACTGAAGAACATACTAGTTAACCAAAACCGGAAAACCTGTTAAGACAATCTGACCCCCAGGAGAAGCAGCAGTGAACAGTTCTAATCATTTAAAGAGGATATAAGTTTAGCAACAAATAACAGAAAAACCAGTCCAGCAGCTGGGGTTTGGCTGCCCCATAACCAAATTAGAGAACTTTAACTAAACCTTTCTCCCTGTGTACCTAACTGACTTAAAACCCCCTTTGCCCAAAAGGTCTGACTAACCAACCATAATGTATGTAAAAACTAGCCAATAGAAAAGAGATAGCAAACACTACACTGTAAGCCTATGTAAAGAAAGAACATTTTACATTCAGGGAGCCTGACCTTCGAGGGGCTGTGGTTTCTCTCTGCCAGAACTCCCTGCAGACAACAAACTCTTCCTTGCTTCACCAAAAGAGCTTGCAGCATTGTTCCTGCAGCATTGTTCCTTCACCTGGAGTTGTTAGACAGGAGGTCAAATTCCTGCAACAAATCCTCCAAGTCTCACTCAGATGCGACCAGCAGCATATAGTCCTCCCAGATCAAATCTGGGAACAGTTCACTGTTCCAAGTCCCTTATTCCTTTTTTGGAGCAATCTGAGCCACAATTCTCTCATAGCAGACTCTCTGATTTCACGCTGCCCTTTAATTCTGTATCCTGGGTTGCTTACTCTTAGAGAGGTAATGTAGTGGCAAAAAAATATATGCCCTGAAGACAGACTGTACCAGGCCCGAGTTTGCATTCCCACACTTATTAGCTGTATGATTGGGGTGCCACTTACTTTATTTCCTCAGGCTTGAATAGTCTAATGTGAAAGCGGGAACAATGAGAATCTACCTATAGATAATTGCAAGTAAAGCATGTTGTTGTTGTTGTTATGTGCCGTCGAGTTGCTTGCGACTCATAGCGACCCTATGTACAACAGCTCTAAACCCTGCTCTATCCTGTGCCAATCTCACTGCCTCTGACACATCCATCCCAATTTCCCCAGTCACTGAATCAATCCACCTCTTAGAGGGTCTTCCCCTCCTGCGCTGTCCCTCCACTCTGCCCAGCATGATGTCCCTCTCCAAAGACCTGTCTCTCCTTACAACATGTCCAAAGTATGTC